ACAGCAGAGGAGAGGACTGCAAGTGGGAAAGACAAGCTGGGTAGCGGAGACAAAGGTTTATATCCCCTCTGACGTGGATGCTGGCATCGGCCCTGCTTGGGTCTTGATAGGACAGGGAATGTTGGCCTTTGTCCATCATCGGCCCGTACGGGACCTTGTACGCCTCCGGGGTGTGTCAGATCTCTGGCCGAGGTCACTGGGTGTCCATGTACTTCTTGTAGCCATGGTAACCATGGCTGGTTGGTTGGTGGGGACCAGTGTCTGGCACATTGACCGTGAGGAACTTTGTTACCATGTCCTTCTCCAAGACAGTTTCATGTATAGACAGCAGCCGTGGGGACCCAGCCTGTTCCTTAGCGTGAACATAGAGTACACTCACCGGAAGAAGGCACCACGGTGGAAGCGCCCGACGTGGTACAAAGCCAGGAGAGCTGTGTTTTGGCCGTAGGATGCAGGTGGATGGTGGCATGGTGGCAGCTCCGTGTTGAGGGTCACATGAGCCCACATGTCCTCGCAGGTCCTGGTGCCTTGGTCCACACCTGGGCTCCAGGTTCCTCTCGAGTCTTGGTTTGGGGCCCTCGGGACGACTCCCTGCAAGCATTGGCCCACATAACGTCAAGGGTTGATTCCTTACAGAATCGGAACCCTGGGTTTGTCGAGCCCTGGCTCTCCACGAGGCGTTCCTTAATTCTCCTGGCAGATTTGGAACCACCCCTAACCCTCACCTTCCCTCCTCTTTCCGCCTGTGCTCACCCTGCTTGGTCCAGGCCGCCGTCTCTCACTCGGCTCATTGCTGTGGACTTTTGGCCACCTGAGCTCTCTGTCCCTGTCCCGTCCCCCCACTTCCAGCTTTGTTAGCAGCTACATGGCCAGGCCCATCCCAATAAAGCGGGAGATGGGGCTTTGTCCTGGCCCTGCCCAGAACCTTCCAGAGGCTGCCTGTTGGCCTCTCTGGCAACAGCCAAGTGCACATTGTGCCTGCTGGTCGATGCCCCCTGCCTTGCCTTGGCTGTGACCATGCTTCCCTGCCTTCTGAGTGCCTGCCCTCCCGTGTAAATGAAGGAGTGAAGTCCCCGGGCACCATTCGCTGCGTGCACAGCAGGGATCGCTGCATTCTAGGGGAGCCCCTTTGTCCCCGTTTTGTAGCACGAAGGCTGGACAACCTCGACCTCAGGGTGGAACCTGCTTCACCCTCTGCCAGGGACAGCTCATGTGTGTGGACAGGCTGTATGTGGGGGGACAGCCCGTGTGTGTGGATGGATCCTGGCACTTCCAGTGGTGGCCTTGCTATTTTAGAATGATTTCAGAATTACCATTTCAACCCCCAAATTGGGCTTGTGAGCCCCTGTTTGCCAACACAAGGCTAAACCTTTGGCTCCACATCTGTGGCTCCTCCCCATGGCAGCACAGGAGGGACTTCGCTTCCCCCAGAATGTTCAGTGCTGCCAGGCTCTTGGGCGGCACTGGAAGAGGGGAAGGCCCCGCCGGTGACTGCAAGTGGAGGAATTAAAGGTGACCGTCCGGTGTGAGAGAGTGTGGGTGAGGACAAGCAGGAGCCGAGGTGGTCAGCCGAGGCTGTGGTCGGACACAGGCTAAAGGCATGACTCCTCCCAGCAGATGTGGGCTCTGAGTCAGTGTCCCAGTGGGGACCGTGGTACGGAGCCCACCTGGCGTGGGGTCCCTTGGGTGAGCAGCCTGCAGACTGGTGGGAGCAGGAGTCAAGCTGAGGAGAGGGGCACTGGGCTCCCTGAAGACCACATGAAGGGCGGAGAAGGGAGTCGGGCCTGGTCTGTGGGGTGCAGCAGTGTCCCGCAGGCTCTGACAATGCCCTGGGAACCCTGCTGTTTCGGACAGTTCCTCACAGCTCACCGAGTGCTTGCTATGTGCTCGACGCCAGCCCGTCGGCAGCAGCCCTGCAGGAGGACACAGCTGTCATAGCCACTTCACACAGAGAAGCTGGCAGCCATGCCAGCTTGGCCCCAGAGCCTGCCTTGCCCACCAGGCCTCTCGCCTCCTGTTCAGAGTCGGAGAGCCTTTCACTGACATCGTGGTCCAGGCACCACGCTAAGGTTTCCCTCATGCAGGTGTTGGAAAGAGTTTGGTAAGGTTACAAGGTGATTGACCTAAGAGGCCACACGTCCCCTTTGGTTTTTGAAGGCCTCTGGTCTGGGCTCAGTAGTCACTAGCAGTGGCTTTCTCTTTCCACATTGTGGTAGTGGTGTTTTTTTGAACGATTTTTATTTATTTGTTTGTTTAAATTTTAATATTTTTAATTGGAAAGGCAGATATACAGCGAGGAGGAGAGACAGAGAGGAAGATCTTCCATCCACTAATTCAGTCCCCGAGCTGTCCCAACGGCTCAGGCGACACCAATCCGAAGCTGGGAGCCCAGAGCCTCTTCTGGGTCTCCCACGCGGGTGCAGGGTCCCAAGGCTTTGGGTCGTCCTCCACTGCTTTCCCAGGCCACAGGCAGGGAGCTGGATGGGAAGCAGGGCAACCAGGATTAGAACCAGTGCCCATATGGGATCTCAGGGCATGCAAGGAGAGAACTCTAGCCAGTGGGCTACAACGCTGGGCCCTGTTTTTTCATCTTCCATCCACTGGTTCACTCCAAATAGCCACAATGGCTGGAGCTGTGCCATTCTGGAGCCAGGAGCCTCCTCCATGCCCCCTCCCACCCCCCGCCACACAGGGGCAGAGTTCCAAGGCTTTGGGGCACCCTCCATTGCTTTCCCAGGTCACAAGTAGGGAACCAGATAGGAAGTGAAGCAGCCGTGACTCGAGCTGACGTTCCTATAGGGTGCCAGTGCTTGGAGGTGGAGGATTAGCAAATTGAGCCGTTGCACCAGGTCCATGTTCTTGTTTTTGACTTCCCCATTCCGGTTTTCCTCCTCACTGCTCCCCACACCACACCTGTGCCAGGCTTAGGCCAGGGACCCAGCACCCCCATGTGTCTGCCCACAGAAGCCGGCCACTTTACCCCCCTCATGGCTGTCTCACACAGTGCACATTGCCAGGGTGGGAATCCCAGATGGAGTGGGGACTCCCACCCCGGCCCACCAGCCCGGATGTGTGTGTCCCGGCACCATCCTAACCCATGCCTCTCCGAGTCCTTATGTGTTTCTGTAGGCCTGTAGCCCCCGCCGTGTGCACACACGTGAAGCAGTTCTCTCAGTAGTGCGGGTCTGAGGGACTTTAGTCACTCATGCTTCCAGTCAGTTAATAGGGATAGCACCAAGAATCAAATTACGAAAGACCCCACGTCACAAACCTCTTGCATTTTAATTTTTTTAAAGACTTACTGATTTGCAAGACAAAGTTGGAAGGAAAGAAGCAAGAATCGGAGAGAGATCTTGCACCTGCTGGTTTACCCCAGGTGGCTGATCTGAAGCCAGGAGCTTCTGCTGGGTCTCCCACTTGGGCAGCAGAGCCCAAAGGCCTGGACCACCTTCCCCTGCTTTCCCAGATACACTGGAAGTGGAGCACCCAGGGCCTGAACCAGAACCCATATGGGATGCCAGTGTCACAAATGGAGGCTTACCCTGCTACGCCATGGTGCCAGCCCCTGATTTTAAATGAGAAAGAAAGTGTTCCTGTCGGGCCCGGTGCGATGGCACAGTGGTTAAGGTCCTCGCCTTGAACACGCCCGGATCCCATATGGGCACCAGTTCTAATCCCGGCGGCCCCACTTCCCATCCAGCTCCCTGCTTGTGGCCTGGGAAAGCAGTCAAGGACGGCCCAAAGCCCGGAAGAGGCTCCTGGCTTCGAACCGGCATAGCATCGGCCGTTGTGCTCACTTGGGGAGTGAATCATCAGACAGAAGATCTTCCTCTCTGTCTCTCCTTCTCTCTGTATATCCGCCTTTCCAATACAAATAAAATAAATCTCTTAGAAAAAAAGAAAGTGTTCCTGTCCGTTGGTTCCTGCCCTAAGAGCCCACAGCAGCTGGAGCTAGGCCAGGCTGAAGCCAGAGCCTGGACCACAACCCAGGCCTTCCCTGGGGTGGCCGGTGACCAGCCAGCCCTGGGCCCTACCATGCTGCCTCACTAGCCGTGGAGCTAGGCCTCAAGCCAAGCACTCCTAGTACAAGATCCAGCACCCCAGCAGGCTCTTAACTGGCGGCCAAGCCTCTGGTGCAAAAGCCTTCGTTTCCTTTCTTTTTAAAAATAATGTTGAATGATAGAGAAAAGGAAGGAGAGGTGGACCTAACTGCTGGTTCTCGCCACAGAGACCACAGCAGCCAGGGCTAGGCCAGGTCGACGCCAGGAGCCAGAAGCTCCATCCTGGTCCCCACGTGGCTAGCAGGACCCACACTCCTGGGCCCTGCTCTGCCATCTTAGCGTGTTGGGAAGCCGGAGCCAGGACTGACGCCGGGGTCACGCTCAGCTGCTAGGCTGGCCGCACCCTCACACTGCCCTCAAGCTCTGGCTCCCCATCCTGGGGATGCCGTACTTCTTGGTTTCTGAAATCCTCCAGATGGAATGGTTACTGACTCGCTTCAACTACGAGTCTTGTTCCTTTTTATTTTCAAGTGGGGTTTTTTTTTCTAATTTTATTTTGCCTTTTAAGATTTGTTTTTACAGGAAAGACAGATTTACAGAGAGAAGGAGAGGCAGAGGAGGATCTCCCATCTTCTGGTTCATTCCCCAAGTGGCCACAACAGGCAGAGCAGAACCAGTCTGAAGCCAGGAGCTTCCTTCAGGTCTCCCATGTGGGTCCCAAGGTTCTGTGCCATCCTCCGCTGCTTTCCCAGGCCACAGGCAGGGAGCTGGATGGGAAGCAGAGCAGCCGGGATATGAACCGACACCCATAGGTAGAAGCTAGCCAGTTGAGCCATCACGCCAGCCCTTCTCACAGTTATTTAGATGACTGATCTAGGAGTTTTTGTCTGCCTTTGGTCTCCGCGGGGTGGGTGGGGGACCGCCGACGCCCCTGCCTCTGCGGAGGCCTCCCCGCGCCGCCACTCACGCTCCGCTCCGTCTTTCAGGGCAGCCTGCGCCATGGAGGGCCTGCTGCACTACATCAACCCGGCGCACGCCATCTCGCTGCTGAGCGCCCTCAACGAGGAGCGCCTCAAGGGGCAGCTGTGCGACGTGCTGCTCATCGTGGGCGACCAGAAGTTCCGGGCGCACAAGAACGTGCTGGCCGCCAGCAGCGAGTACTTCCAGAGCCTCTTCACGGACAAGGAGCACGAGGCCCAGAGTGTGTTCCAGCTGGACTTCTGCGAGCCCGACGCCTTCGACAACGTCCTCAACTACATCTACTCCTCGTCGCTGTTCGTCGAGAAAGGCAGCCTGGCCGCCGTGCAGGAGCTGGGCTACAGCCTGGGCATCTCCTTCCTGACCAACATCGTCTCCAGAACCCCCCAGGCCCCCTTCCCCACTTGCCCCAGCCGGAGGAAGGTGTCGGTGGAGGATGACGACACCACCAACCACAACAGCTCACAGAAGAGGAGTGTCATCGTGTGTCAGAGCCGGAACGAAGCGCCAGGGAAGGCCGGCGGCCAGAGCCAGCCCGAGCCCAGCCAGGCTCCGCAGCCGGCCCCGGCCAAGGGCAGCACCGGCAAGCCGCATACCCCGAAGGCGGCCGAGCCGGCGCACAGCCTGTCGGTCACCGAAAAGTCTTGGCCGAAAGATGGTCCCGGGGGCCCTGCCAAGGCCCTTGAGCAGCCCGGGCCCGTGGCTGATGCCAGCAGGGCTGGTCTGGCCAAGAGAAATGCTTCCCTGCCCCTGCCGGACAGAGAGGTGGGCGAGGAGAAGCCGGGTGCCGGCGCCCAGCTCCCGAAGGGGAAAGCTGTAGAACTGGCTCTGAAAAGGCCGCGGCCCCCCGTGCTGTCCCTGCGTAGCTCCTCGGAGACCCCCTACCTGTTGCAAGAAACACCGAAAGGGGGCGGCCAGGGCGAGGACAGAAGCCTGCTGTACTATTCCAAGCTGGGCTTGGTGATCCCGTCCGCTGGCGGCGCGGCTCGCCCTGCCGCCCAGAGCATCGACAGGAGCGGCCCGCTGGTCAAGAGCCTGCTGCGGCGCTCGCTGTCCATGGACAGCCAGGTGCCCGTCTACCCGCCCTCCCTAGAGCTGCAGGCGGCCCCGGGGGCCCCCGTGCTGGCCGGCGAGACCCCGGGCAGCGTGTTCTGTGCCCTCTCCCACAAGCCCGTTTTGAAAGATGGCAGTGGCGGCGGCGGTGAGAAGCCAGCCACCCCGGACGAGCGGCGGCCCACGCTGCAGCCACACCGCCTCAGGTCCTTCAGCGCCTCGCAGTCCACCGACAGGGAGGGCGCCTCCCCCGTGAGCGAGGTGCGCATCAAGACGGAGCCCAGCAGCCCGATGTCGGAGCCCTTGGACATCATCCGTGTCACCGTGGGCGACGCCACCGCCTCGTCCTCCTCTTCCTCGGCCACGAGGGACTTGCCCGTCAAAGCGGAGGATGACCCCAAGGACATGAGCAGACTCCCCGCCAAGCGGAGGTTCCAGGCGGACCACAGGCTGCCCTTCAAGAAGCCCAAGGCCAACGAGCACGGGTCCCCCGTGTTGGACGACCCCTGCGAGGCGGGCTCGAGCCCCCCTCTCCTCCAGCACGCCCATTTCCCAGACTCTGATTTGAATCAAGACGAATTTGGTGAGTTGGAGGGGACGAGACCAAACAGAAAGTTTAAGTGCAAACATTGCCTTAAGATCTTTAGGTCCATGGCGGGCCTGCACCGCCACGCTAACATGTACCATAACCCCGAGAAGCCATACGCTTGTGACATTTGTCACAAGAGGTTTCACACCAACTTCAAAGTCTGGACGCACTGTCAGACCCAGCACGGCATAGTGAAGAACCCGTCTCCGGCCGCTAGTGCGCAGGCTGTTCTGGACGAGAAATTCCAGAGAAAGCTCATTGACATAGTGAGGGAGAGAGAGATTAAGAAGGCCCTGCTGGTGAAGCTGCGGCGCACGAAGCCCGGCTTCCAGGGCCAGGGGAGCGCACAGGCCCCGCAGGCCGGCAAGAGGAGCCTGCGCGCGCGGGGCAAAGCCGCCTACATTTGTACGCACTGTGGAAAAGCCTGTCGCTTTCTCTCTCAATATAAGCAGCACATAAAAATGCACCCGGGCGAAAAGGCCCTCGGCGGCGGCGGTGGCGTCGCTCGAGTCCTTAAGCCGAAGGAGCAGGCTCCCGTGGCGGGCCCCGTGGGGAGCCGGGGGCTTTTCCACTGCCGCCTCTGTAATGCTAAGCTGTCTTCTCTCGTAGAGCAAGGAAGCCACGAGCGCTTATGCCGGAACGCAAGCGTTTGCACTTACTGCAGCCTCAGGTTCTGCTCGGCCGAGCTCAAGCAGGAGCACGAAGGCAGGTGTGAGTACAGGAAGCTCACCTGCCTCGAGTGCATGCGCACCTTCAAGTCCTCCTTCAGCATCTGGCGGCACCAGGTGGAGGTACACAACCAGAACAGCATGGCGCCCGCCGCCGGCTGCCCCGTGCTGGACCACAACGGGGACGTCGGCGGGGCCTGCAGGCCGCAGGCGCAGCCCGAGCCCGACAGAGACGGCCCCGCCGCCCAAGACGCCAGCGCCTGCAGCGATACCTCGGAGCAGGTGCACCTGGACTCGGAGGACTCCTGCCTCCCCGAGGATCTCAGCCTGTCGAGGCAGCAGCTCAAGGTCCAGGTGAAGGAGGAGCCCGCAGACGAGGCCGAGGACGAGACGGCTGCCGCCAGCCCAGCCCCCAAGGCCGCGGGCCCCGGCAAGGCCGCAGGCCTGTGGCCCTGTGAGAAGTGCGGCAAGGTGTTCACGGCGCACAAGCAGCTGGAGCGGCACCAGGAGCTGCTGTGCTCCGTGAAACCTTTCATCTGCCACGTGTGCCACAAGGCCTTCCGCACCAACTTCCGCCTCTGGAGCCATTTCCAGTCCCACATGTCGCAGGCCACGGAGGAGCCGGCCGCCCACAAGGAGGCCAGCGCAGGGCCCGCACCCACCAACTCGCCCTCGCCCCCGCCCCTGCCCCCGGCGCTGCCCAAGATCCAGCCGCTGGAGCCCGACAGCCCCACTGGCAGCCTGCCCGAGACCGCTGCCCCGGCCGCGGAGAAACTGTTTGCACCCCAAGAGTCGGACACCCTCTTCTACCACGCCCCGCCCCTCTCGGCCATCACCTTCAAAAGGCAGTTCATGTGCAAGCTCTGCCACCGGACATTCAAGACGGCCTTCAGTCTCTGGAGCCACGAGCAGACACACACCTGAGGGCCCGGACTGTGAAATGGGTCTTCTCCAGAGAAAACACAGAGTCACAGAGGTTGGCAGCGCTGTGCCTGAACTGCTGCGAGATCCGTCGGAATCCATTAGCCATGTCCTCGCTCAACTTGAGAAGTGGACTTCTGACCGTTGTGGTTCCAGATCGCAAACGAGACAGTCCGATCTTGTTGTTGTCAAAATGGAGTTTACATGGTTTCTCATTCCACGGGGTCAGTGTAGTCATGTAATTGAGGTTTCTGGGGCTTGTTGGGGGGGAGAGATTTTGTGGGTTTCATTTTTCCTGGTTTGTGATTGGTGAAATGCTGTCCAAATTACTTGTTTGCAAATTGCAGACCCCGAAGTCCTGCGAAGCCTTGGCGTGTTCCCTGAGCCCCAGCTCGAAGCGGGCAGTGTGCTGACACATTCACATCTTACAACACTTTAGCAATAAAAAGACAATTTAAAAGAAAGAAAACCTCAACTTTAGTAAGTTATCCTGACACTTGATATAAAAAAAAATAGAGAAATATTTAGTATTTTGTGGTCATGTACATCTTTTGTATGAAAAATCGTAAATCTAAATCAGCAATAGTAACACCTGGATTTTTTTATAAAATGATGAAATTTTCTCTTGGTCACCTAACAAAACTAGGAGTACGGTCAGAGCCGCAGGAGACATAGGAAACCAGTCCCCAGCACTCCTGGGCAAGGAGCCTGCTCGGCCACACGTGGCGCCTCAAGCCCCGGGTGCGTGGGGTGCAAGGGGTGCGTGCCCCGCCACCGGGCCAAGGGCGGAGCCGGCCTCTGACTGGACACTGCCCCAAGCAGTGAGGGCTGGTTCCGTGGAGGGCAGGCCCTTAGCCCGGGCAGATCCTTCCCCAGGGCCAGCGGCTCTGACACTGTCACTCAGCACGCACAGGGGACACAGTCCCCTTCCCGCTGTGTAACCCAGCCGAGCAGTCGATGGCGTGTGCCACAGCTGAAATGGCCACTGCCAGACGGTGCCACTGCTTTCACTGCTTAATAAATACCCTTGTGAACTTTGCTACTTTTGGTCTGTAAGTGTCGGGGCTTTTTCTTCTTCCTGTGCTGCCTGGTTGTCACAGAAAGCCATGCAGGTGTCACCCAAGACCAGCGTGGCACTGAGCACAGGAAGCCATCCGGCAAGGGAGCGATAGAACACTTGAGCTTGTTCTAGTCCTTCCTCGGTGAGGAATAGCAAGGCTGCCCCCTTGAGCCTGCGTTAGCCGACACCGACCCTCGTCACCAACATTCCGCACGGCCGCGGCCCCCACGGGCTTCTCTCTGGACTGCTCGCTGACTTTGTACATTACAGAAATCGGTAAAAGAAATTTTGCCTTTTATCCTCTCACTTGAAAAAAAAATTCTCAAACTATTTTTAGTAAGTTGCCGTTTTGTTGTTAAACTTGGATGGAAAAAGGAAAGTGAGAGTGAGGTGGCCGCTGCTGCTGGCTGCCGTCTCCTCGGGTGTGGCTCAGCAGGTCTCTGCATTTTACGGAGAACCCTGAGGCCTGCGCCCGAGCATCCCCCGTGAGCTGGGGCCTTGCTCACCTCCGAGCATGCCCCGTGAGCTGGGGCCTTGCTCACCTCCGAGCATCCCCCGTGAGCTGGGGCCTTGCTCACCTCCGAGCATCCCCTGTGAGCTGGGGCCTTGCTCACCTCCGAGCATCCCCTGTGAGCTGGGGCCTTGCTCACCTCCGAGCATCTCCCATGAGCTGGGGCCTTGCTCACCTCAGAGCATCCTGGTAGCTGTCACTTCCCCAGAAAAGGCCGTGTCTCCTGGGGTGAGCACGTCCTGTGGCCGAGCGGGCGTCCCTGGGGATGCCGACACCCGTTAGCCTCGTGTTGTAATTCACATCCTAGGACTTGAATCTTTATGCTACACTTTTTTGGAAGAGTTTTTTTTTTTTTTTTTTTTTTTTAAGAAAAATAAATAGTGCTGTTAATCAGTAAAAAGTATTTTTGGTCTTAATATAGACTACATAACATGTTAAGATCTAAGCAATTAATGCTGTCCTGTCTCCTTCACATTTTTTGTCTAGGCAAGAAAATAGATTTCAAATGAAATTTTGAATCAAAAAGTTTATATTACAGTTCTGGTTTTTCTATTAACTTTTTATACTGTACCTTAAAAAGCGTTAGATGAAAGAGTTTATTTTGGTGGTCAAAAAAATAAATAAAATATGCTTCCACTCGTGTAACTATTTTCAATATTGAGAAGTAAAATAATAAAAGACACATTAATTGTTTTATGCCGGTGACAGTTTTTAGACTGTTGATCTGGGCGCGAGGCAGACGCCTGCCGAGAGGAGCCTCCCCACTGCAGTTCTTGAGCTGGGAAAGACACTCCTGGGCATGTTTCTCCTGATTGTAATTAATTTTTTGAATATGTAAAAAGCCCCACTGTTTCTTGTAAGTATTGAGGATGCCTGCCTTTTTATGCAGTTGTGGAAAGAATGTAAGATGTTTTAATATATTCTTTTGTTAATCTAAAAGCCTGGCCTAGCGTCTTTCTCTATGGGTGTTGTGGGGGGAGCGCCGGTGGGAAGGACAGAGGAGCCATGTCTGTCACGCAGGGCAAACAGTGCAGATAAGGGACAGCAGGAAGTTTTAAAGTAAGGTGCTGGCATCCTGTGAGCTACTTTATAACTTTGCCAAAACCACTCAGAGTGAGGTTAATGTGCCTTTGTGGAGAGGGGAGTGTGACTTGGGGCTCGGCTTATCCCCTTGGTGAAAATGGTCCAAACATGGCACCCATGGGTGCTCGTAAGAGTAGTGGCTGTCAGCCCAGACCAAAGCTGACCGCTCAGAGCCAAGTGGTGGCTGCGTCTGCCAGCCGACTGGACTTTGGCTGGCCCGGTGAGGTGTAGAAGCAGAAATTAACCTACCGAAGAGGCCTTTGCTGTGCGTGGCTGTGCACAGGTCCATGGCCTGAAGCTTTCTGGGAAGTAAAATTACTAAAGTTTTCTTAGTACAAGAATTAAGTATCATTCCTTACAGATCTCACTCTAGATTGTCTAGCCATGTATTGGATTACTTACTGCTAGATTCGCCAAGCACCCATGAAGGAACACATCATCCAGGTATAGAAAAAAATGACCTTTATTCAAAGAAGCCCCAGCGCACAGCCTTTCTCCCTTGCAGCAGCAGGACACGAGAAGGCTACGGAGGACTGGAAAGGCGGGCGGGGGCGGGCGGGGGCGGGGGCGGTAAATCGCTGCTGACACGGAAGCGGGGGTCACTTCGGTCCTTACTTGGTGTGAGATACTGGCTGGTGTCCCTCGCTGGTCCAGCAGCGGCTCTGCTGCCTCCGGGGTGTGCGGGATCCCGCTGTCCTTTCTGGGTTCCAGCCTGAGGTCAGAATGACATCCTGGACTAGAAGCAAGCTACGCCCTCCACTGTAACTGCGGCAACCATCATCTACATATTCCAGTGAGCCAGTTTCTGATGTTTTCTGCTGATTTGAATAGTACCAGTACCCATTCTTAAACAAGTGTCCTTGAATACTGACTGCCATGGAACTTTCCTGAATTTGTGGAGTGGCTCTCCTGGGGCGGCTGCACTCCAAGACAGCGGATGTTGGCATGAATCTCGGGCACCCTTGCTGGTCGCAGGTGCACCCATCTCCGCCCTGCCATCTGCCTGGGGAGAGACTGGAATGTGTGCTTGGATTCTGGAGGAAGAAGGGAGATGCGTTAGTGGTGGGATTTTAAGATTTCCTTGTAGGGCCCGGCAGCATGGCCTAGCAGCTAAAGTCCTCGCCTTAAACACCTCAGGATCCCATATGGGTGCTGGTTCTAATCTCGGCAACTCCACTTCCCATCCAGCTCCCTGCTTGAGGCCTGGGAAAGCAGTCGAGGACGGCCCAAAGCTTTGGGACCCTGCACCTGTGTGGGAGATCCTGGAAGAGGTTCCTGGTTCCTGGCTTCGGATCGGCACAGCACCGGCCATTGCGGTAATTTGGGGAGTGAATCATCGGATGGAAGATCTTCCTCTTTGTCTCTCCTTCTCTCTGTATATCTGACTTTCCAATAAAAATAAATAAATCTTAAAAAAAAAAAAAAGACCATGTTGCAGTGACAGCCCTTTGAGAACCAAAGAGATCAGGACCTTGGGTTCTGTGTCCCTGCTGCCTCAGTGCCCAGAAAGCCCTGGGTGTTGATGCTCTTTTTTCTTAACTTTTTTTTTTTTATTGGAAAATCAGATACACAGAGAGGAAAATCTGCTGTCTGCTGATTCACTCCCCCAGTGGCCACAACGGCCAGAGCTGAGCCAATCTGAAGCCAAGAGCCAGGAACCTCTTCCAGGTCTCCCATGCAGGTGCAGGGTCTCCCATGCAGGTGCAGGGTCCCGAGGCTTTGGGCCGTCCTCGACTGCTTTCCCAGGAGAGTTTAGCCACTAGGCCACGCCACCTGGCCCAGTCTAGAGAATTCCTGACGTTTGGATCTCCATGACCTTGAACATTTGGGAGGTGTTGACCCACTCCTCTGCGAGTGTGTGGTGCTTCCCAGGGACTGGACGGAAGTTGTGCACGTGCTGACCAGACCACGTGTTGCCTCTCTGCCTGTGGATGGCAGGGGCCTGGCTGCAGAGCCGGGACCCCTAACAAGCGTCGTCCCCGCACGGCCCCCTACCAAGTGGCCTTGTGGCACAGGAGCAAAGGGAGGGAGGATGGGGGAGGATTGAGGTCATTCATCTGCCTTCCTCTTCGGGCTCTTCCGATTTGGGCTCCTCACATTTAGCACTGCAAAAGGAGCTGAACAAAGGGAGAGGCTGTCACATCTCAACGACCTGCTTTATCCACTATCATGCCTGTCAGCTTTCCTTATTCAAGCTTTTTTTTTTTTTAATTGAAAAAATTCAAGCGAGTAGGAAAGGTGGAGAGAGGAGAGTTCTTCGCTGCTGCTCCCGTGAACTGGTTCACTCCTCAGAGATCCCCAAAAGCCAGGGGTGGACCAGTGGGACCAGGAGCCAGACTCCACGCGGGTGAGCAGCAGGTGTGTCAGCCGGAAGCTGAACTGGAAGTGGATTCAGGCCTGGGGCCCAGGCACTCCAACAGAACATGCAGGCGTCCCACGTGGAAGCTAAACTCACCGGGCCAGGACACACCCACTCAGATTTCCTTGTGTTCCTTTTAGCAAACTGTTTTTTCTCTACCTTTTTAATTTGTGTCATTAAATATAATCATTTGACATTTTATCCTATGTTTCCTGTCTTTTATTTCTTTTTAAAGATTTATTTTATTTTTATCACAAAGTCAGATATACAGAGAAGAAGATCTTCCATCCAATGATTCACTCCCCAAGTGACCACAACGGCTGGAGCTGCACTGATCCGAAGCCAGGAGCCAGGAGCTCTTCCAGGGTCCCAGGCTTTGGGCCATCCTCAACTGCTTTCCCAGGCCACAAGCAGGGAGCTGGATGGGAAGTGGAGCTGCCGGGATTAGAACTGGCAGCCCATATGGGGTCCTGGCATGTGCAAGGCAAGGACTTTAGCTGCTAGGCCACCCTGCCGGGCCTATTCCCTGTCTTTTAATAATCATATTTATAATATAAATAATATAATAACAACCATAGCATTTCTATTTAATGCCATGGTTGTTATTAATTGTCATGACTGGATTTGATGCTATCATTTTACTTTGATTTTCCATTTATTCCCATCTGTTCTTTTCAGTTTTGTATTTCTCTTCCCTTCTTTGGAATAACTGAATTGTTTTTAATGATTTGTTTCATTTCTTTCGTTGGCTCGTCATCTGCAGCTTCAGCTAAGAGTGCAGGTGTCCCTTCTCCCGGGCTTCGTGTCGTGTCGTGTGCATTTCACCTCGACATTATTTCTCACTTAGGAGTTTGCTTCGCATAGTCAAATGTCTTTTGAAGAGATGATTAATAAGAAAGTCCATTTTAGGAAAATGTATTTATTTAAAAGGCAGAGTTTCAGAGAGAGAGAGATCTTCCACCTGCTAGCTCACTCCCCAAATGGCCCCAGCAGCTACGACCGGATGATCCAAAGCCAGGGGCCCGACCAAGCAGGTGGGTCACCTTCCTACCTTGCTCTGCTTTTCCAGATGCGCCAGCAAGGAGCTGGGACTCAAACCTCTGGGAGTTCCCAGGAAGGGTGTGGCTGCTAAGCCTCCGTCTGCATCCCTTAGGGACCCCAGAGTCCCAAGGGGAGGAACGCCTCCACCCTGCCCCCATGGAAACTCTCCCTCCACAAAGCAAATCCTATTTGAGGTGGGGCGTGTGTGGCCTGAGCGCTTCTGAGGCCAGAGGGGCTGTCGTGATCCCAGGCTGCCAGCGCCAGCTTCCTGCCCGTGTAGATCCTAGCAGGCAACAAGAGATCACACATCATTGCACACACCCTGTGGCTTTTGCCCACTGCTGTCACTCTGACGGTCGTGGTGTCAGCACAGACCAGTGAACCTGGGAGCCAGGGGGCCAACGACCATACCTGGGAGAGGGTGTCTCTCTCACCTGTGTCACCGCAAGCAGGTGCACAAGGCACCGAGGGCCCCACGTGACTCATCGCACGAAGCTGGCTCCTGGCTTCCTCCAGATTTCACACATCTTTTCCCTTCGCTGATTTGCTTTTCTTCCTTTGTCACATCTTGGGTCACACCCACAAGCACCACTACCTGCCAAGACCGGCAAATCCTCCCAGCAAATCACCGACTCGGGGTTGGTCCTGGGACCCCCATCACATTGCTTCAAGTCCAGTTTCCCCACTGCTGGTGACAGAGTTCAACAACACTCTTCCTTTCGGCAAGGCATAGCTTTCGTGATGTGAGCAGATCAAACAGAGCTCACAATCAGTACACAGGGAGGCGGCCCCGTGTCAGTGTCAGCAGGCACAGCCAGCGGCCAGAGCTGACCTCCACAGGCCGTTCCAGTACCCCGGGCCAACACACAGCACGGACTCATGTGAAGGAGAAAATGCAAGGGAAATGAAGAGGAACACATAACTGGATGTGAGGCCATGCGGCTAAACCCTCGCCTTCCGTGCCAGGATCTCAGAAGGCACCAGTTCTAATCCCAGCTGCTCCACTTCCCATCCAGCTCCCTGCCTGTGGTCTGGGAAAGCAGTGGAGGACAGCCCAGAGCCCTGGGACCCTGCACCCACGTGGGAGACTCAGAAGAAGCTCCTGGCTTCAGATCAGCTCCAGCTCTGGCCGTTGTGGCCACTTGAGGAGTGAATCACTGGATGGAAGATCTTTCTGTCTCTCTCTCTCTCTCTCTCTCTCTGTATATCTGCCTTTCCAATAAAAACAAATAAATAAATCTTTAAAAACAAAACAAAACAAAAAGCCACATGATCCGGGGTTTGTGGTGCAGGGTTTAATCCACATCACATACGATTGCTGGTTTGGGGTCAGGCTGCCCAGCTTCTGATCCAGTCTCCGCTAAGGCAGCTGAAGGCGGTCCACAGGGCTAGGCCGCTGCCACATTGGAGGATGGGTGGAGCTCCCGGCTCCTGCTTGGCTTATCCCAGCCATTACAGCTAGTTAGGAAGTGAACCAGAGGATGCAAGATCTCTCTCTCTCAGTAATTCTGTGTTTTAAATAAATAAATGTATTGTTAATGTGCTAATCAGCAGTTCTCAAGACATTGGATTCCAGTCTAAGAAATATCAACTCTTCCATAATTTCCATATTAATACACCTTTGAACAGTTAACACCATTTAGTGTTCATAATTGACAATAATATTTACACCTAAAGAAAGTTGAAACAGAAAATACAGAAAATATGAAAAAAACAAGTAAGTTTCCTTAGGAGGGATAAATGGATTCAATTTTTTCTTTTAAAGATTTATTTATTTTTATTGAAAATTCAGATTTACAGAGAGAAGGAGAGAAAGCTCTTCTATCTGATGGCTCATTCCTCAAGTGGCTGCAACAGCTGGAGCTGAGCTCGTCCAAAGCCAGGACCTAGGAGCTTCCTCTAGATTGCCCACGTGGGTGCAGGGTCCTAAGGCTTTGGGCCATCTTCGACTGCTTTCCCAGGCCTCAGGCAGGAAGCTGAGTGCAACGTAGAGCAGCAGGGACATGATGCCCATATGGAATTCCTGCAAATGCAAGGCGAGGATTTAATCACAAGGCTATTGCACCGGCACAAGAATATTTATGTGTAATAAGCAACTTGCCATCTGTGGTCATTTCTCTTAAGCGGCGTTACAGAGCTTGAATGTCACTGGAAGATCTTGTGTCTAATGGGACTTGGGACGGTGAGTATTACTGGACGTTTAAGTTGTTTTCCGTCGTCACTGCCGACAGCAGGTGCGTTGTGAGTGGGGTGAGCGAGGCAGCGGGTGTGGGCAACACCACGGACCATCGAGGAGCTGCTTTCAATTCAGGCCACAACAGGGAACGCGGAGTCGCCCCGTGGCTGTGAAATGCAGAAACTCAAAGCAACTTTTCTGTTTTTCTGCATGTTTCAACTGCTTTCATGTTCTAGGGAAAAAAAAAAAGCTTTGAAACCACAAAAAGGACACATGTGGCTCCCCAGGGCCCCGTTCCACACTGGTCTGTAGGACACTCTGTTGATTGCGAGTTTTTCACAACGACTTTGATATTTTTTTAAAGTCTGACATTCAGTTATCTGTTCCTGACCTTTCGGCAGCCCTTTAAAGTCGCACACGAGACAGAGTGCCAGCGCTGTCCCTGTGGTCCTGACCCCAGGGCCCTGCCTCTATGAGGAACTGTGTATCCGCTGGCAGGATGGGCAGGGAATCACCTGGCAGGCTCTCCCCAGGGCCAGGCGCCCCTGGACGAGGGCGGGAGGCAAGACGATTCCCAATGGCCAGGTAGATCTTTCTCACTCTGTCTCTCCTTCTCTCTGTAAATCTGCCTTTCCAATGAAAAGAAGAAGAGCCTATAGAACAGGCGGCAGTACCTCTGTGTTAGAAGTCAGCGTCTGCAGTGCCAGCATCTCACAGGGTCACTGGTTTGAGTCCCGGCTGCTCCACTCCCATCCAGCTCGCTGCTCATGCATCTACCAGCCACCATGTGTCCTGGCTACCTTGTATCTGCAGAGTGAACCAGTGGAGGTTAACTTATGAGAAGCCTTATGCTACTCGGACTGTCCTTGGTGGGCATCTGGGAGTCCTAATTGCGGTGGGCTGCATGCAGGCCGGGTGCCATGGATTTGCTCACCTGGCTGGAAGGGTGTGGTCCACAGGGGAAGCTCAGAGGCTTCTCACACCTCCTCGTGGCCAATGCCCACAGTGCCCAGGGCACATTCAAACACAACTCTGCCTATAGGCCTGGACGGGTGCAGGACTCTGCATTCCCAACCAGCCCCCAGGCCCGGCCCGGCTGCCCAAGGCAGATGGATGCTTTGGAAAATGGGGCGTTAAACCCTGGGAGGGACTGGCAACTTGCATTTTGCAGGACCACTGGACAATCCCACCTTGCACTGGCATGCCATGGAATTCCTCTAACTTTGCCAGTGACTTGGTCCCAGCAGGGGAAAGAAGGCGCTGCTGGTTATGGGGGCTCACTAGGAGACCCTCAGGTAGGAACTGGGAAATGGAAACACCCCCATTTTCCCTGGCATCTCGAAAGCTTTGTTGTGGGAATGCGGCAGAGCCCTGGAATTCCCACGTGGGTGCAGGGAGGGCGCACGCATTTGGACTCTGCTTCGCTGCTTTCCCAGCTGCATTAGCAGGGAGCTGGGCCAGAAGTGGAGCTGCCGGGGCTCCACCTTGCGCCCCACTCTGAGATGCCAGAACTGCAGGTGGCAGCTCAGCTGGCTGCATCACACACTGGCCCCCGGACTCTGTGTTGCCAGGTGTGGTTTCCAGAACAACTCACAGAAGGATTCCTCCTCTTCACGCAAGACTAGATCCCGCCTTCGTTTCAAACCCCATCTCAGCCCCGCCCAGCCGCGCATGTCCAGTGCTCCTCCTACGCCCGCCGGGAACAGCTCCTTTCATTTCCTGGCCTAGAAGGTTCCGCCCCCACCACCACTTCCTGTGCAGCCTCCTTTTTGGGGGTCGAGTTCAGCCTTCCCCTGACCTGCCCCTGCGCCTGCAGCGTGGGGGTGACCGGGAAGCACCCCCTGGTTGCACTCCCCACAAGGTCACCTCCTTGCTGCGTCACTCACCCAGTCGCAGGGCTCCAGCGTTTTCCTGGTGGCTTGTGTGGGCACCAGGAGTGAAACAGGAACGAGGCATCACTGAGCTACCCGGGCTGCCAGCGACACGTGTCCTCCTGCTGAGCCCGTTGGGAAGCCCTTGGGGGAAGGTAAAGGCAGCTTTTGTCGGTGGCCCTGCCTTCCCTGTCGCCCACTCACCAGGGATGTCGGTTTGTGCAAGGCAGACCTGATGTCCTCGGGGGCACCTGTGCCCAGCAGGTGCAGAGCAGGCCTGAGGCCGCAGCTGTGTGCCTGGCTGAGGGCTGTGCCCCAGGGACTGCTGGCTGGCTGACCAAGTGCATGGATACTCTGAATGAGAGAATCAGACAGGGCCCTGAGAGCTCAACTGGCTAATCCTCTGCCTGCACATGCCAGCATCCCATTGGGTGCCGGTTTACAGGTTGGCTGCTCCACTTCCCGTCCAGCTCCCTGCTTGTGGCCCAGGAGAGCAGTCGAGGATGGCTCAAAGCCTTGGGACCCTGCACCCATGTGGGAGACCCAGAAAAAGCTCTGGGCTCCTGGCTTCAGAACGGCTCAGCTCCAGCTGATTCTCCCACTTAGGGAGTGAACCAGCGGATGGAAGATCTATATGTCTGTTTCTCTCCTCCATAAATCTACATTTCCAATAAAAACAAAGAAGCAAATAAAAATAAAAACATAAGATCTAATGCTAAGTAGGTCCTGTGCTATCTGCACCCTAAACCCAAGCCCAGGCCACGCCCAGAAACCCACATGCTGAGGCGGCTGGCGTTTACTCGCTCACTCGTCTGCTCTGCCTAGGCCATCTGCCTCTTCCATGCTGGGATGCAAGCAGGCCAGGACAGGCAGCTCATGGCCTGAGAGGGGAAGACAGTGCTGGGAGGGCCAGGGCGAGCCCAAGACGCAGCACGCTCCCTGCAGCCCATCCTGCCTGTTGGCTGCTCAGTCCTCTTGGAAACTCTGAGGACATAGGTACCCTCATCAGCCCATTTCAAGGATGGGAAAGTAAAATGATTTCCCTAAAAATCACGGGAGGCAGAATTTGAACTCAGACCTGCAGACCCGGAGCTGGAGGTTTCAACCTGCCGTTGGCGAACTTCCTTTGGAACAAAGTGGAGGAAGACTGCAGGGGTGCCTCAGCCATCAGGAATCCCCTGGCCCCTGGAGACCAGGGGGACCTTGTGACAGTGGGACCTGGCCTTGCAGTCCCTGAGCTGGACTCAGCCTCCAAGCCAAGGAGTTCAACAGACGCCTCTGTGCTGCAGAGAGGACTCCTGTCCCCACCTGTGTCCACAGGGAGAGCTGGAAACAGGGCCATGGCCAGACAGGCTACTCCGCTGCAGGCAGCAGCGCCTGGACCGAGCCCATCATGCACCCAGTGGTCTTACACCTACTGCAGTGAGACTGGGCCCCCACTTCCCAGCAGACCAGGACGCCTCCTGAAACCCTGCAGCCTCCGGGGGAGGGGACTCAGGGGGCCTGCGCCTGAGCCTGCAGCACAAGGAACTCGGGTCCAGCCAGGGAGGCAGACACACACCGCTGAGTACAGCATGGGGGTCTCTGGATAGTACCGAAGGAGAGTTCACTAAGCAGCTGTGGGTGGACAGGTGATAGTAGGCGGGCTGGTGGCCATGGGCAGGCAGGAGGCCACAGGTGGGAAGGTGGCCATGGGCAGGCAGGTGGCTGTGGGCTGGCAGGTGGCTGTGGGCACGCAGGAGGCCGTGAACAGACAGGTGGCCATGGGCAGGCAGGTGGCAGTAGGCGGGCTGGTGGCCATAGGCAAGCAGGAGGCCATGGGTGGGAAGGTAGCTGTGGGCGGGCAGGAGGCCGAGGGTGGGTGGGTGGGTGGCCATGGGCAGGCAGGTGGCCATGGGCAAGCAGGAGGCCGTGGGTGGGAAGGTAGCTGTGGGCCGGCAGGAGGCCGTGGGTGGGTGGGTGGGTGGGTGGCCATGGGCAGGCAGGTGGCAGTGGAGGTACAGGTGGCTGTAGACAGGCTGGTGGCTGTGGGCAGGCAGGTGGCTGATTGGTGAGCTGTGGTGACTGAGGCAGGCGCTAGTCAGACAGAAGAGACAATGTAATAGCCAGCACAGGCTGAGGCTGCAGCAGGCAGGCAGGAAGGCTCAGCGCGTGGAGTGTGGATGGGCAACCGTGGACATGGAGGAGACATCAGGGAGCCCCCAGCACCCACACTTGACCCCGAGGGCCCCGGGAGCTATGGACAACTGCCAAGGGAGGCAGGAGTGAGGAGCCTTGCTTCCTGTGTGGGGCGCACGGGGCAGCGGACACAGGCTGCTGGGGCTTTGGCTGTGCGCTGGCTGGCATGCTGCAGCATGAAAAGGAGTTGTCCACGGCCCCACCCCCCGGCTCTCACCATCCGATGTGTCGGGCAGGGCGGTGTGGCTGAGAATGTGGTTGCCCTGCCAGCCCAAGGGAGGCAAGGGTCGCAGGGTGGTCTCTGATGTCGTAGAAGTGGTGTCAGTTGGGTGTGTCGTCGCCCTGACACCCACAGAGGGTGCCAGGCCAATCCGTGCCTGTGGGTCCCGCTCATAGCCTGCAGGAAGGACCGAGTTCCTGTTTGCTTTTGCTGGGCCCCAGATTGGTGCACTTGAAGTTGACTCAGTTCTTCTCTAATCTCTCAGATCTGTTGCCAGAGTACCTGTCTGTACTGCCCACAGGCTCCTGCTGGCTGCCGTGGGGGCTCACGGTCCCTGCAGCCCCCACAGGGGCGCCTGTGCACAGGGGAGGGGGAACAGCGCCAGCGCCCTCCTCACCCCAGGGACATGGGCGCCTGAGGGTGGCCCAAGGCAGCTCCACTTCAGCCCTAGAGACAATCATACAGTGGCCTCCTCTGGGTGGTCCCTGTTGACTCTGCTCCAAGATGCATGCCCAGAGTATGAGAGAGAGTCTGAGGTGTCTGGAGCAGCCCTAGGTGCTTTCAGTTTTGCCCGTGACCCTAGCATGCAGTGGCCAGCAGGTGGAGCTGGTCCAAGGTAGGATTTGGCCGGATGCTGGGTTCTCCCTCATAGGCCATAGCCCCACACCATGTATGCCACTGGTAACCACAGAACTTCAACTGTTGCATCAGATTTGCATAAAATTTCTGGGTCACTGAAAACGAAGGTGAAACCCTCACCATCACTGTCACCATCGGCAGCATGGTGGATTACAGGCTGCTGGGCACCTGGGAAGTGCCCATGCCGCTGCACCGGAGCTCCAGGAAGGAAGCAGCTGGCCTGGGCGGGGGTGTGCTGCAGACTGGAAGCTGACCCCCCCAGGGACATCTCCTGGGGTCCCTGGGCCCACACACCCCTGCCCCCGCCAGGTTGATGGGCTGAAATCCGCCACGTGACGCCATGAGGAGGGACTTCAGTGAAGTGCTCCAGGGCCGAGGTACGGCCTCACGTGGGATGAGTGTCCCTGGTGTGGAAGGTCCAGCCAGGTCAGCACCTGCACCCTCTTCCTGCCCAGCAAGGGTCCCCGCCAGGCGCCAGAACCTGAGCTCAAACCCTCAGCTTCCAGAACACAGAGAAAGTGCTTCCTGCTGTCCATGCCACCTGCCCGCTGGGAGTGTTCAGGAGGAACATTCGGGAACATTCTTTCTGGCTTCCTTCTGAACAGCTCTGTTGAGTGGCAATGAACTGGCTGCTTGCCTGCACCTTGTGGCCTCACACCTCTTGCTCCCTGCGGAGAGGAGAGCTCACCAGGCCTGGCCAGACTGACCTGGACAGGAAGGGCAGGTGCACAAACGTCGTGCGCTTGAGGGGGAGGTGGTATTGACGCCGTTCTGTGTCCTCAAGAGCCTGGCTGTGGCTCCAGTGCAGGCGGCTCTCCGGAACGGGGTGGGGGTAAGGGAGACATCCAGCACCTAGCAGGGCACACAGCGTCGGGGAGAGCAGTGGGCTGGAGAGGAAGGGCCGGGAATGGTCTTCTCGTCCCCCGGGACCTTCACTCCCAGGGCCTTCGGCGGCCATAGGGAGAACCCAGAGGGAGACACTGGGCCCTTCCTTCTTCCTTCCTTCCTTCCTTCCTTCCTTCCTTCCTTCCTTCCTTCCTTCCTTCCTTCCTCCCTCCCTTCCTTCTTCCCTCCCTTCCTTCCTTCCCTTCTCTCAGCTGCCCCTTACCCCAGGGGCATGAGGGCGACCCCGGCAAGGAGATGCTGGGATCACTGGAAGCCACTGACATGCCGTGCAGGTGACCAGCAAGGTTCGTCCTTCCCCTGGGGCCACATTCCAGAAGGTGATTCTTGAGGGAAACGCCTCCGCGACCTCAGGAATGCACAGGGGCAGATGCAGAGGACGTTCAAAGTCACACGGGGACAAGGTGACATCAGTGGAACTGGGGAAAAACAAGACCGCGCAGTAACTCCATGTGGGTGCTGCTCCACGAGGAACTATTCTGCTTAAGATTGCGTTGTTCACTGGCAAGGCCAAGTTACAGCCAGAAAAGGAGAGAGAAATTGACATTGCCATCTGCTGGCCACAGTGGGTCAGGCTGAAGCCAGGAGCCAGGAGCTTCTTCTGAGTCTCCCACACGGGTGCAGAGGCATGAGCTCCTGAATTCTAGCTTCTGCCTGGCCCAGCTCTGGCTGGTGCAGCCACTTGAAGGGTCCTTCTCTTTCATTTTGATTTCCAATATATGTATTAATAGCACCAAGTGGAACTTTAGACCAGAACACAGGTAATGCATTTGTTACAAAGGAGGAGAATCGCTTTCCCTCGTCTGGCAAGGTTAGCCAGGCTGGGCTTCCCTCCAGCACGGCCACTAGCAGGGAAAGCCCACAAGTCCCGCCCGGTCACCCTGCGGTGATGCTGGTGGGGGGTGGGCCACAACAGCAGGTCCTGGGCACGGTGGGTGCCTTAGAGTGCTTTTGGGCCAGGCTCACGCATGCTCCCCCGCCTCCAGGCTGACACCCCAGGCGAGGAGGCCACTGCCTGCAGTTGGAGGAGGGTGCAGGCCTGCTTTGGGAGCCCTTGTCACCTGGAGGTGTCTGTCCCTGAGGCTGGTTCTAGCCCTGGGTCCAGGCCACCACCCCCAGGCAATCCTACGTCTTACCCAAGCCACTAGCAGCTGACCCAGGGGCTGCCATCTGGGTCACGTTCCTCAGCCCACACTAGGTGGGCAGAGTCCAGTCCGAGGGTGAGCTGCCCAGGTGCCCAGGGCAGGCTCTTGGCAGCCCAGGCTGGCAGGCTCTGCCTCATTGCATGACTCAGGGTCCTGGACAGACAGGTTGTGGCCCAGGGACAGTGGCAGTGGGTGGTAGATGCGGGGATGTGGACTTGTAGGTGTGTGGGAGACGGCAGGTCCTTCTCTGAAATGATGCTGACCACTGGGAAATTATCAGGCTGGTTACCCAATTGCCTGCCTGTCTCCACGGCAGGTACAAAGGCTCAGAGAAGGCCTGGAGCCTTGCAGACCCCATAGGGCCTGCACTTCACTGTATTTTTAAAATTTTTTTAAAGATTTACTTATTTTTATTGGAAAGGCAAATATACAGAGAGGAAATTCTTCCGTCTGATGGTTCACTCTTCAAGCAGCCGCAACAGCTGGAGCTGAGCCTATCCGAAGCCAGGAGCCAGGAACTTCTTCCTGGTCTCCCACGCGAATGCAGGGTCCGAAGGCTTTGGGCCATCCTAGACTACTTTCCCAGGCCACAAGCAGGGAGCTGAACGGGAAGTGGGGCAGCCGGAATTAGAACTGGCGCCCATATGGAATCCTGGCACGTTCAAGGCGAGGACTTTAACCACTACGTTATCGCACCGGGTCCACTGCTTTTTTTTTTTTTTTTTTTTTAAATAGAACTTGTTTGCAGAAGCTGTCTGCAAATTGAGGTTCACCGGTCGCGGGGCAGGGAAGAGGGGGCACCTCTGGTAGAGGGGGGCCAGCTCAAGACACGGTCACTGTGAGTGGGTCTGGAGGGGAAGGGGCGGCTGGCTCGTGCTGTACTCACCTCCTCCAGGGATGCTGCAACCTCTGGTTGCAGTGAGGATTGATAAACCCCGGACCAGATCACTGGAATTCTAGGCCCTGACAGGGAGATGGATGTGTCCAGGGGGGACCAGGTTGTGTCTGCTTTGGCCAGTTCGCAGCACCAAGGCCTCAGGCACAACAGGAAACACCCCCAGACTGGCCGCTGCACTGTGGAAATGACCTCTGGAGGCCTGAGCCCAGTGTCTCCCCTCCCCCGTCACTGCTGAGCCAGGCTTAAAAGCCCTTGGCTAAAGAGAATTCTCAGAACATCTTCCTGTAAGTGCCACCGAGCTGAGCTGTGCGAGTGGCTGTCGCAGGGCACCAGGCTCCAAGAGGCTGGATCCTGCCGGTCTCAGTAATTGTGGGGGCTGGGTCCTTTTCCACATAGGGACAAATCGAACACATCCTCAGTAACACCCACACCCTGCCATTTTCTTTCCCTTCTAGAAACTTCACATAAACTGGACATGTAAGAGAAGCTCTCAGGATGCGGGAACAGCACCCATGAGAATATCTGGCGAGGTGGGGCTTTGGGCCATGAGTAAGCGCACGGTGCTGCAGCAAGGCCAGGAAAGGGCACCCTACCTACACACCCCTTAGGGTAACTCGGCAGACAGCCTCAGGGAGCAGTGCCCCCTCCAAGCCAAGAGCCTGCAGAGTGTAAGCTGAGTCAGGCCTTCCTGCCAACTGATGGCAGACAGGGGCCGGCTGTCCCTGCTGTGTCCTGTGGGCTGCTGGGGTGTGTGTGTGAGAGAAAGAGGGTTTAGTTCTACCTGCTACTGCATAAACAACGTTCTCCCCACGCCAGCCCTGCACCCCTGTGAGGGCCATGGCGTGTCCTCAACCACAGAGCCTTCCTTGGTCAGCGATTAGCAACACGCTCGTGCTGCAGAGTCCAGCGGAGCACCCCACACATCTGAGCGCTCGCAGGGGACTGGCTCCCTGGCCAGAGCTGCCCACAGCATCCTGGAGCCAGAGGGAGCTGCTGTGCAGGGAGGAGGTCAGCTTAGGGTTAGGGACCCGCATGGTCGGCCAGGGGGCTCCTGCTTCTGCAGCCACAGTGCCCTATGCAGCCGGCTAGGAAGTAGCCGGTTCTGGTTCTTTTTCACAGATTCAGTTCTTGTAGCAGGTCCTGGCTGTGCCAGCGTGGGCCTGCATGCCTGCCAGAGTTCTCCGCACACAAGCAAATATTGACCTTGTCTTTGCAAAAAAAAAAAAAAAAAAAAAAAAAAAACACGGCAGGGGTGACACCTGCCAAGCCATGGGCGGCTGCTGTTTACCGGAGTGACAAGCCTGTCAACAAGGCAGTGGGGTGAACATGTGTTGCCTCCAAGACACGTCTGCAGGAACGCGACCGGTGCAGCCAGTTGCACTGGATAGGAGGCTCCGCCCAGGGAGCCCGGCTGGGCCGCCACGTGTGCCCTCAGAAGTTACTGGCATTATCCTGGCAAGGGGACCAGCATGGTTTGAATGATTGCTGGGCTGTGCGTCAGGACACCAAGGGAGTCTCCTCCAGTTAAGGAGACTGGAGACCTGGATTCCCCAACGCTCAGAGATCTCCGGAGGGCTGAGTGGACGACGAGGGTCTGGGGACGGGGGCCCTTGTCCAGAAGCAGCCCTACCCTGCACCAGCCACCCTGTCCATCCTCTTACTCACCAAGCTGGGCACCTCCTCCTCCTCTAGGGAAGCCAGGGCCCAGAGGAGTCTCTGCTGATGTGCCCAACACCCACCTGCACACCCCTGCTCGGGCTAAGGCCAAGGGCATGCTATGTCAGAGACAAACACACACACAACACAGCTGTGCCCTCTTCCCTTCCCCCCTCCCGCCCTCCCCACCACAGGCTTGCTCTCCCCTCTCCCCTGCTGAGGCCTGGCATGCCAGCTGGAGGCTCCTGGGACCCTTCCTGAGATGGGTGGTTGTGTGCAAGGCAAGGTCAGGCGTCTGTCACACACACCTACTACATGTCATTACACACGCCATACACACCACACAGCCACCAGACGACATTCCACACACACTGCAGAATATGTCACACATCCACCACACACACCACGTACCATGCACATCTGTCACACACTGCATGATAGAACACCACTCTAGCAGGGGGTCGCTGCGGACCCCTCAGAGGCGAGCCAGAGGCCATCTGTGAGGCCGTGGATTTCCAGGGACTTTCCAAGGACTTAACCCCAGACCTGCTGGCGCTGCCTGGCGGGAGGTTGCCTAGGACTCTCCTTCAGACTGCCTGGTCCACACGCAAATCCACTCGCACATACACTCAGCTGCGTGTTACCGCAGATGCAGACACTCAAGCACACGTGCACACACGCACGCAGGTTGTGCCCTGCGGCCCCACAGCCGTCCCGGAGATCAGGCTGGTTCAGCGCCCACAGCCGCGCCCCTGCCGCGTCCCCACGCCGGGCCTGTCCGCGCGCGCGGGGCAGAAGCCCGATCGCCGCGCCCCGGGGTAATCGCAGCACCGGGCGTGCGGTGCGCGCACGTGGAAGGCCAGGGGCCAGGCCTGGAGCGGGAAGGGCGGCGGGGCCTTTAAGGGGCGGAGGCGCGGGTGGCGAGGGCGGGTCCCGGAGCGCGGGGCCGCCCGGGCGCCCGCCCCTCGCGCCCCGCCCCGCGGCCCGCGCCTCTTGCGGCCACTGCTGGGCCGCGGGCGGGACGCCCGGGGCGGCGCGCCCAGGAGGAAACGCGTCCCGGCCGCGGTCCCGGGAGCTGGCAGACGCCGGAGTCGGGAGCGCCGGCCACGGGATCATCTCGCACGCATCCCCAGGTGTGCGGGCTCCCGGCGCTCTCCCGCACGCTGTGGCCACCGTGCGCCCGCCGGCATTTCCTCTCCCTCTGGCTCTCCCGGCCTCCAGCCTCTGGATCCTGCGCGCCGCGCCCCCTCCACGCCCCCTCCAGCTCCGGGACGGCCGCCAGCGGATGTCCTGAGCTCGCCCCTCTCTAGCTGTGCGCGTCCCGGCCGGCCCCGGAGCTGCTCGGAGAAGTCGGGACCGGGCGGGGCATGCGCCATCACTATGGCCCGGCTGGGCTCGTGGCTCGGTGAGGTGCAGTGGCTGGTCTTGGTGTCGCTTTTCGTCGCGGCCCTGGTCACGGTGGGACTGTACCTGGCGCAGTGGGCGCTGGCGCGGGCACGCCCTGCATCCAGGCGGCGGGCGGAGGCAGCAGTGGCTGCGGAGCCTGGCGAGGCGCAGCGCCCGGAGCCCGACGCGTTGCTCTCCTGGATCCTGACGTTGAGCAGCTGGAGACGCCAGTGGCAAACGGCCTGGGTGACCGCCCTGAACGCCGAGGCCCAGAGGAAAGGGGTGAGTTCCCGAAGCCCAGGCTGGCGGGAGGGAGCGTCGGGGGCGCCTGGCTTTCTGGAGGCGTGGCCACCGCTCTCATCCTGAGGGAGCATCCTTGAAAGTTGGGAGGGCACTCGGTGGGGAGCCCGGACTGCAAACCTCTGAGTGCATCCCCAGGCTCCAGGCTGCCCGGGACAGCTTGGCTGTTCGCAGGTCCCTGTGAGAGGGTCCCCGGGGCCGGGTCACTTTGTACCTGCTGGACTGCAGGACCAAGCTGAGAAGGGTGTGCGTGGGACCCACCGCTGACCTGGCCCTTGGTGGCTGTCTGTGGTGCTCAACCTTGGCGTTGTGGCTTGGTGCTGTGGTCTTGGCACCCACGGCCATGGAATGAAAAAGCGAAAGAGCACAGTGTGTAAACCAACATAAATCTGGCAGCTTGAGAGGCTTCCCTCCCAGGAGTAACCCTGCCTTCAAGGTCAGCTCGTTGACCCGCGTCCGCATTGGCCTTGGAGCCTTGGCTGGGGACCCCCTCAACTGCACAGATGATGGGGAGGAGGGGCGGCCAGCGGGCTGGGGCAAGCAGCCCTTGCTCTCCCCAGAGCAAGCAGATTTTGCTGTATCTGACCCCTAATTGACCTGATGTCACAGGCCTGCATTTTGGCACTGAACTTGCCACAGGCTGATGGCTTGAGCCTTGCCACAGACTCCCTTGCAGGATGGGAGCTGCTGGGGGGCGTGGTGCCGCCCCCCCCCCACGCCAGGCTGGGCCTCCTGTCCACAAGCCCAGCTCCCTGCGTTTTGGGGGTGGTCCCCATCTCCCCGCTTCTGCTCTTTCGCCTGACACTTCTTGATGGTCTCCCCCCCAAAATGCCACTCCTTTGCTTCAATGCTTCCCAGTTGCCCCAAGTCTAGAAGGACGAGACAGAAAGGGAAGGAAGGCCCTCCTCTCTGGCTAAGTTTGGGGTTGGGGTCAAGTTCAGTCAAGTATCAAGGGTCTGTGTGGGGGCCAGAAGGGTGATGGATGCAGTGGTTAGAGGCAGAGCCCAGCCAGGCTGCTTTTGGGGTCACGCCTTGCAGTCCTGGACCCAAACGTGCTCTGAGCTCTGCCTGGTAGAGGCCGTCATGGTCATGGTTCAAGTCCAAAGTGAGACCCTGTGTGGGCTGGCTCCGGGTGGTGTCACTGGGAGAGGAGCATGTCTTGTTGCACCTGCTGGGTTAGAATTCAAATGGAGGCTTTTGTGGGCGATGGAATTTGGGGTAACCCAGCTCCCTACTCTCCGGGAGTCCGTGGCCATCCTGTCGGTGACAGCAGGGAGCATGTGGGTGAGCAGGTGTGTGTGTTTGTGTTCCTGGGTGCCCGGGCAGCAGCTGCCCTTCCTCTCGGCCCTCCCCCACCCCCAGGCCCACTAATCCTGGATTAAGGCTGATGGCTGCAGGCCTGGAGAGTCCAGCTCATGGCCCTGCCCCCACCCTGTCCTGGCCAGTGAGGAGCCAGGCGACCCTGCTGATCTATTTCCAGCATCTTCCTTGACATGCGATGCTTCCTGTCCAGAGGAGACCCCTCCAGGCCTCCGTGCCCTCCCAGCTTTGCCTTTTTAACATGCAAAGAGACCCTGAGCTCTTCTTGCCAGTCTTCCTCCTCCAAAGGGGAGCCCCCGGCCCAGGCTCAACCCGCGGACTGGCCTGTCTTGGTCCTTCTCTGGCTACAGCCATGCCCCCTGCAGAAATACGTTGCTTTTGTTTTTGTTTTAAGATTTATTTATTTTTATTGGAAAGGCAGATTTTCAGAGAGAAGGAGTGACAAAGATTTTCTCTGTGCTGGTTTACTCCCCAAGTGGCCACAACAGCCGCAGCTGAGCTGATTCGAAGCCAAGGAGCCAGGAGCTTCTTCCAGGTCTCCCATGTGGGTGCAGGGTACCCAAAACTTGGGCAATTCTTTGCTGCTTTCCCAGGCCATTAACAGGGAGTTGGATCAAAAGTGGATCTTCTGGAACCTGAACTGGGATGCCAGCATTGCAGGCAGAGACTTAGCCTACTAGACCATGACACTAGCCCCTTCCGAAAAGTGTTTGAGGTTCCATCCTGGCGTTAAGTTATACAGGACCAGGTATTGCTCAGACACAAGGGGAAGTCATGGTTGATCTGAGGTCGGACACAGGGCACTGGGAATCACCCGGGAGCTGGGCAGTGCTGGGTGTGCCTACTGCCTGCCACCTGCCCACTGCTAAGCAGGGGTATGTGAGCACTCTGGAATTTTCCCAGGTTCCTCAGGCACTTCCCCTGGGTGGAGAAGGACCTGTGCGAAGATGCCAGCCCCAAGCTTGCTCTCTGGCAGAGCCCCTTGCCCCGCAGCACCTTCACGTGATGGTTTGACCTCTGGCTCCCGCACCTGCACAGTGGCCACTCCGGCTGCTCCTGCCCGGCTGCCCGTCAGCCCGGCTTTCCCTGTTGCTGGCCTACTTGGAGGGGAACATTTGCAAAACATGTGTGACTATAACTTGTCATGCCACCCACCTTGGGGTGTGGAGAGAGCTGTCGCCATCATCACAGCTTCACCGACTCTGGGTGCTGGCAGCCATGCAGCCCCGTGCCAGCAGCAGCCCTGAGCCTGGAGCTGGCATCGCGTTCTTGGGGCCTGCCAGACAAAGCCCTCTGCCACATCATAAGGTCCCCGCCAACCCCGTTGGCTGCTGGCTCTTCCTTGGCCTAAGCCCGGATTCTAAGTGCAGATGATCGATGCTGTTGGGTGTTTTTGGCGTCGTTGTTTGAAAAGAGCTGCTCTGTTGGGGCTGGCACTGTGGTGCAGCACGTTAAGCCTCCGATTGTGTGTAAGTATCCCAGATGGGCGCAGGTTGGAATCTCAGCTGCTCCACTGTCTATCCAGCTCCCTGCCTGTGGCCTGGGAAAGCAGTGGAGGACGGCCCAAAACCTTGGACCCTGCACCCACATGGGAGACCTGGAAGAAGCTCCTGGCTCCTAGTTTTGGATCAGCTCAGCTTCAGCCATTGCGGCCATTCGGGGAGTGAATGAGCAGGCAGATCTCTCTCCCCTCTCTTTCTCTGTAACAATGTTTTTCAAATACAATTTTTTTAAAAGGATGCTATGTGTACTAGAACGTGTTGTGGACAGCCCTGACGTGTGTACCTGTGTCCAGCTACAGATAAACGTGGGGGCCGCCAACCCCGCCTCCGTGGAGCACTTAACTCCTTTCTCCTGTTTCGCACCTCCAAGTTTTTAAAATGTGATTTATTTCTTTGTTGGAAAGGCAGAGAGTATGAGAGTCCCTCCATGTCCTGGCAGTGGCCAGAGCTGGGTCACAGCTGAGGCTGGGGGTCAAGGGCAGCGTTCATCCCCGTGGCTTTTAGGAGCCCAGTTACCTGAGCCACCGCCGTCACCGCTGCCTCCCAGGTCTGCAGTACAAGGAGCCGGGCTGGAGCCCGGGCCCCGGGATGGCGGGTGGGCCTCCCACATGCCCAGCTAAGTGCCCGCTCCAGGTGGGTCTCGGCTCACAGGTCCCCAATCCAGCTGCTCTGTGATAATGCTAACTTAGCGCCACGCCAGTGGCTGCTTGGTGCACGTGACGGGGACCAGGGGAAGCAGGGCCAGCCGGGAGGAGAAGGCAGGGGCCCGAACATGGCAGCCCAGGGCCCAGCCGTGGGTACACTTGCTGCTGCCGTGTGCCTGCTGTGCCAGCCGGGCCCTTGCAGCTGTCGAGGCTCAGTCCTGAAAGCAAAGTCCTCACAGTTGACACGGCAGTCACGTGGCCCCACGGGGGATGAGTCAGCAAAGCGGGCTGCTTGCATCAAGTGTCCTTATTTATTAACGCATTGATCTCTGCAGTAAAGATTGGTGTGTTTTGAAAGCATTATGGAAGGAGAGAGAGGGTCTATCCACTCCCCAGATGGCAGAAACAGCCAGCACCTGGGTCAGGCTGAAGCCAGGAGCCAGGAGCTTCTTCTAGGTCTCCCACATGGGTGCAGGGGCCCAAGCCCTTGGGCTGTCCTCTGCTGCTTTGCCAGGTGCATTAGTAGCCAGCTGGATGGGAAGTAGAGCAATCGGGACTTGAACCAATGCCCCGGGATGCGATGGTGGTGTCCCAGGAGGTGGCTTAACGTGCTGCACTCAGTCCCAATGTCTACTCTTTCATCGAGCCCCTGGGTAGCGGGGTTGGGACACACTCCTCCGGCCGCCCTTCTATCTCCTCCTCACTGACCACTGCCTCCCTCAGCGCGTCTGGTCTGCCCGTGGCTTCCGCGGCATCTGCTCAGGGCTGGCTCTCTGTTCCTGCTGACTGGTCGCCCCACCGCAGGCCGCAGCCACCGCCTCTCCACCAGTCAGGTCGGGTGTACTGTGCCCCACGGGGCAGGATACTACTGCTGCTTCCTTCAGGGCACCCTGGCCGCCGTGTGGCAGTCACAGGCCCTCCACTGGCCGTCAGCTGGGGACCTCGTCAGGCCTGTCACCAACTCCACCCCCATCCACAGCCCCGTTTGTGCACCTCGCTCGCTCTCTGTCTCTGTGTCTCCGTCTCTCGTACTCTGTCCTATGAACACCTGTATGCATCTCTCTCTGACTCACTTGCTCGCTCGTGCTCTGCCCTACAAGCACCTGTGTGCACTTCTCTCTCTCTCTGCCCTATGAGCACCTGTGTGCACCTTGCTCTCTCTGTTCCCCTGGTACCATGACTGTGAGCTGATGCCTTGAATCGGGTCCCATGGCGCAGTTAGCTTCCCATGCCTTGGTTTTTTCTCACCAGCAGGGACTGTGTAGTCGTTAGGGTGCAGGCGACATTCCACTAGATTCTTGGACAGCCAATTGGACTGTCTCACCTGCTCCTGGTGGCATCTCCAGAACTAATGCTTTCCCTAGGAAGCTCTATGGGTCTTCCTCCTCCATGCGTGGGCGTCCTCGCCATTGCCTCCTTCTTGGGAGAGGCTCTACCTCGGCAAGCACGCTCTGTGTGTTTCTTGGTGCCGGGGGACGGCAGTCTGCCGCCAGTTCCTCCGTCACAGCTCCATTGTCTTTGGATGAGCTGTGACCTGTAGGCTCTGAGCGTCCTGAGTCTCCCGTAGCTGACTGTGTGCACAAAAGCGCAAAGCCCATCGGTGGTGCCCAGTGGGCATCTGTTGCCTCGGGCACCTGGGGCACATTTTCCCAGGGACAGGATCCCTGCTGTGGAGGTTCGGCCACAACATGAGTTGGCACAGTGCCACAAGCTCGTGCTGCAGATGTGCTGGGTGGAACCCACGAGCCAGGCGGCCTGCCCAGGCAGACACGTGGCTCCTTGCGTTCTTGTGGTTTGAGCTTTCCCAGGATTCTTTACCTGGCTCGTGGCAAGTACTTGCACCCACACCAGTCTTAGGGAGAGGGAGCGATGGCCTCCCCATCCTTATTTTCATTTCATACTTACTTTTGAAAAATGTTATTTACTGATTTGATGGAGATCTTCCACCTTCTAGTTCACTCCCCGGATGACTATAGTGACCATAGCTGAGCTAACCCACAGCCAGGAGCCAGGAGCTTCCTCTAGGTCTCCCACACGGCTGCAGGGGCCCAGGCACTTGCACATCTTCCACTGCTTTCCCAGGAGCATTAGCAGGGAGCTGGCTCCAAAGTGGAGCAACCAGGACTCGAACCAGCATCCGTCTCTGAGGCTGTGGCTTTTCCCACTGCGACACAGCACTGGCCCCTCTACTTAATGCTTCTAATGAACAATGTGTTTGCTTTGTGAGAGGACCCAGGGGCATTGCAGTGCCCAGCCAGGGTTGGTCACGGATGTCACTCAGGTGGTCCCCCAGAGCAGGGGCCAAAAGCTGCAGAGCGCGTGTTTTCCGGGGTGGGGGGCAGTGTCTTGCTGGAGCCCCACTGTGCTGCAAGTGCGCGTCAGTGCCGGCCAGCTGCTGCTTGCAGGGCAGTGGCATGGGTGTGAGCTCCAGCCTGGCTCCTGGGACCCTGATTTCATCCTTCCCTAGAATGAGGTGTCATTCTCCCTGGCTGCGTGATGGGGAGTGAGGTCAATGTTGCTGGAACAGGGTGTGGCTACAAGCTTGTTGCCTTTTTCTCGGTCACTGGGAATTCTTAAGACCTTACTACAGCATCACTCTGCTGCTTGCTGAGCTGCAGGGCGCTTGCCTAGTGGTTTTAGTATGTTATTTATTGGTAAGGCGGAGAGATGGATATCTTACATCCACTGCTTGGTTCCCCAAATGCCCACAGCAGCCAGGGCTGGGCCAGGCCAGTGCCAGGAGCCAGGGTCACCATCCGGGTACCCGTGGGTGGCAGGGTCACTGTCCTCCTGCCAACAATCTGGTGCTCCCCACCACCGGGTGCCCACACTGGACAGGACCGTGTTGGCACCTGCTCCGGGCTCACACAGACACCCTGTGCCATCCTCAGCGTGTCGGAATAGAGCCAGGATTTCTGTGCACAGGGGTGGGGCCTCTCGGGACAGGCTTGGCATGTGTGTCAGAGCCCGGTGTGTCCCTTATATCGTAGCTCCTGCTTTGAGAGTTCTGGTTGCCAGATGCAGTAGGGGACTTCCAGCAGGACCTGCGGCAGCAGCAGCCCCTGGCACTGGCTTTTTAGGAGCAGCTCCCTGAAAAGATAATGGGAACGCAGGGTTGAGGGCAGGAGCTGGGTTACACCTGTGGGGCATGAGGCCTGGGCCGCAGGAACCCCTGTGCTGGAACCGCCCAGGGAACAGAGTTGGGGGTCGGGAGACTCATCTCCATCCCAGGGATCTTGCCCATGTCCTTGGGATCCAGAGGTCTCTCATTGGGTCATGAGGCTGTCCTGGGCCGACAGCCCTCACCGAGAGTCCAGCATGCTGAGCTGGTTGCTGTCACTCCGTCAGCTGTGGCTTTCTTTCCTCTGTCCTCTCCCCTGACCGAATCCCCCACCAGGAAGCGGCTGTTGCAGCCCAGAGCTTTGTAGGGACCCAGGTTCTGAAGAGCTGCCCCTCCCTCCCGTGCCCCCGGCCTCACTGTTCTCCTGCTCTCTTGCAGGGCCAGCTGCTCCTGGACTTCCAGCAGGACCTGCAGCAGCAGCAGCCCCTGGCACTGGCGGTGCAGGAGGTCTCCAGCGTGCTCAGGTCGCCCCAGGAGAAGGTGAGCGGTGCTTGGTCCCCTGCGGTGGCTGGGTGAGGACCCCCCACCCTGGGGCAGGGGGAGTCCCCTGCCTGGGAGCCCATGAATGACTAAAGCTGTGAGTATAGTCCTTAGGCACACTGCTCCATCGATACCCCTGGGGGATGCCAGCCTACATCCAAAACGCCACCCAGCAGGCGCCTCTTGACCCAGCAAACCCAGACACGCGATACAGCGAAGAGGCTAGGTGGCCAGGGCCTGGGCTAGAAGTGGAGCAGGCCTGAGCGATGGGTGTCGGGTTTTTCCTTAAACATGTATTTGTTTGGTTTTTATTTGAAAGGTAGGGTTAAAAGAGAGATTGACAGAATGAGAGAGATCTTCCATCTGCTGGTTCACTCCCCAGTGGCTGTAAAGGTTGGGCTGGTCCAGACCAAAGCCAGGAGCCAGCAGCTCTCTCCGGGTCTCCCATATGGGTGCAGGGGCCCACGCACCTGACCATGCGTTGCTGCTGCTTTCCCAGGTGTGTTAACTGGGAACTAACACTCAGTGGGATGTTGACCTCCCCAGGGGGCAGCTTAACCTGCAGTCCAGGACTGGGTCTCTTGTTGGGTGACACAGCAGGCTGCTGGCTGCACCCCATGACCTTGTTGAAAACCCACAGCTGAAAGATAGAAGCAAGGCCCCCCGCGCTGTGGCGCAGCAGGTTAAAGCATCCCACGTGGGCACTGGTTCAAGTCCCAGCTCTCTACTAATGTGCCTGGGTAACGGGCGGATGGCTCCAGTGCTTGGTGCCCTGCCCCCGCGTGGCAGAATTGGAAGCCGCTCCCAGCCCCTGGCTTTGGCCCAGCTGTGGCCCTGGGGGCCATGGGGGGACAGTGCATGAGTAGACGGAAATGCTCTCTGTTCAAACACCCTCGCTTTGTGCTGCTTCTGTGGGTGAGCTATACAACATGCAAGGGCTGTCTTGTAAAGGTCATGGCTACACGCATGTCCTCTTAGGTGATGAATGTGGGGTTGCTAGGGGCTGAAGGGGAGGCGGATGGGGGTGTCTGGTAGCGGGGCTGAGGAAGCAGTCCCGCCCACGCTGGCGAGGCTAGACCTCAACAAGGGTGGCATGCTGGGTCATGGGTGGGATGCCACATTTTGTGGGATGTTGTGTTTACCACAAGGGTGAACATCTGAACTCAGTGAAGTGGTTTTATTTTCCCACATAACACTTGCCTCAGCCCACTGGGTGGTCGGCCAGTCCGTGCAGCCGCAGGCATGCACACGGCTGGCTGGGGGTTGCCATGCCTGGCTTGTAGCCCACACACAGGGGTCCTGACAACTGCATTAAGTCAGCATGAGGTCCTGGTGACTTGAGAGAGGCCAGTGTCACTGGGCGTGGTGGGCCTTTTGCGTGTGGCGTGCTTCCTCCTTCTCCGTGCCTGTTGCTTTGCGTCTTCCTTGATCTGCTGTTCTTGGAATTCTCCAGAGATCTTATCCACCAGGAAGGCGGAGCTTCGCCCTCCAGCCCTTCCTCCGGCAGCAGCTGTGGCGGGTGACTGGAGGGGGCCTGCCCACGCCCCAGGCCTGCCCTGGCCCTGCTCCATTCTCCACTCCCTGTTTGTCAGTACTGAAGGGACCCTGCCCTCCCCAGCCCCCAGCCCCAGGCTGGTGCTGTCCTCAGGGAGCAGGCCGTGCCACCTCTGCCTCTGCTGTCATTGGCAGTGTCACCTGTTCTTTACTCATTCTTCCTAGAAGGGCAGGTGCTTATGAAAGAACAGGGACGTGGGGGCTTGCCGGAGGCCCAGAGGCAGCATTAGGAACGGGGCGGGTGGGGCCTGGGCTGTGCACAGCATGTGCTCATGAAACAGGAACGAAGCCAGCTTTTTAGCAGCTAGGTGGGCCCCCAGCACTTCCTGCCAGGCTGCTGTCCTCTGGCTGCTGTCCTCTTCCTCGGGTTCCTGGAAGCTGCGGGCAGTGCACAGCGCACATTCCAGCTTTGTTTTACGAGAATGTTGTCCCTGGCCGTGTGGCTGCTGGGTTGTGGCCACGGCCAGGGCTGTCCTCTGAGTGGGACAAGTGGATAGCTCCACTCCTACTGCAGCCACGCCCGTGATCTCCCACCGTGGTGATCCGATGGCAGGTTTGAGAGCGGTGGGCTTGCTGCTACTTGGAGCATCTCGGTACCCAGCCCAGGCCAGGCTCCCTCTGCAGTGGGGCCCTGCTGGGGTCTGGCTAGGTCCCTGGAGGGGTGAGTGGGAGCACGTGCCTCCTAGCCCCCCTCTCCCTGATGCTGGGAGCTTCCCCACAGCCTTCGTCATCCCTGGGGCAGATGTGACACACTAATTTTTTTTTAAAGATTTTTTTTTATTGTAGAGGCAGATGTACAGAGGAAGATCCTCTGTCCGATGGTTCACTCCCCAAGTCACCGCAACGGCCGGTGTTGCGTCGATCCAAACAGGAGCCAGGAACTTCCTTCTGGGTCTCCCACGCGGGTGCAGGGTCCCAAGGCTTTGGGCCATCCTTGACTGTTTTCCCAGACCACAAGCAGGGAGCTGGATGGGAAGTAGAGCAGCCAGGACTCAATCTGATACCTCAAGCCCTGGTCCCAGTCCCAAAACACCCATTCTGGGGAGGAGGCAGGCCCTCAGAGCTTCTCCTGACGCTAGCCCTGGGCAGAACGCTGCACAGCACCGTGTGTGCATGGAGGTCAGTGAGACACGGAGGCCCCGCTCGGGTCCACCCAGGGGCTGGTGCCGGGCATGGCTGCAGGCCTGGGGGCCAGTGCTGCACTGTGTCCACCATGCTCACTACTGGGCTACACCAGCCCTGCAGGCCCCACCCCAGTGCACAGCCCTCAGGCCACCTTCCTGCTGTGTCTATTTCCTTTCTATATGAAGAAATCTTGGATTGACTTTTTGTTTTATTTGAAAGACAGTGGGGAGAGAGAAGGCTCTTCCATTTGACTGTTCCCCAAGTGCCTGGTGGCTGGGCCCCACTGAAGCTAAGAGCCAGGCCCTGTGCTGTGCTGCGGCCACCTGCTTGCTAGCCCCCTCCAGCCCCCACTCACCTCATTAGCATGCAAAGGCAATCTTATCTCTGGGGATTCCTAGTACCTGGAACCCAGGACAAAGGACAAACATTTGTCACTGGGCAAGGTCACCCTTCCAGGGCGTGTCATTTCCCTGTGGGTATTCTCCAGGGTGACAGCAATCTCTTTAGCACAGCACCCCCACGTGGCTGGGCATGCCCTGACCCCTACAAGGCATCCCCAGGGGCCACTCTGCATGCTGCCCACCCCCCACCCCACTTGTTCCATATCCATTCCCAGATTCCCCAGGAGTACCTAGTTCAGTCTGCTTGGGAGCCCAGTCCATGCAGCAGGCGGCTGGGGGCTGACCCTTCCATGGCGCTGGACACTAATGTGTGGTTGGCCCCTGTGGAGGCTGACCTTGAGCCAGGGCTGGGGCAGAGCTGAGGAGGTAGTCCCTGCAGGAAGTGTCCTCCAGCATAGTCGGTCTGAAGGCAGGTGACTGCCCAGGGTTTGGGGGTCCCTGGAGGAGCCCCTGTTCTCTATGCTGTTTCCACGTGGATGGCAACAGCCAATTAAGGGTGTGAAGCTGCAATCCACGGCTTGGAAGCGAAGGTGGACCAGCGTCCTCCAGATACAGCCTGGCCTGGGGCCCACCTTCTGGACCTGTGTCTGCTGGGTTCACACACCTCCCCAGCAAGGCCGAAGGGGGAATAGGAGCTGTGCAGGGCCCTGTCCATCACCTGCCTGGACATCATAGTTCCTGACGGCATCAGGTGCTGGCAGGCCGGCGTCGAATGGGCGTGAGTACCGTGTGTGACATCCGTGGTCGCTGACCTGTGGACTCCACGTGGTGTACCCCTGCCCCCTCCCCTGCCACGCCCAGACCCACCTGATTAGTTCCACTCACTCACAGACTCCCCCACCCCAACTTTGCAGAACTTGAATTCCGGAGTCTCATTCACCTTCTGTTCAGGTCACGTGAGAGAAGGTTGTAAAATTGTTTGCAACTGGGGTCTTCCTAGAGTGCAGGGTGTGGAGGACCCCAGGAGGGGGCCATGTCCCCTGGGATCCCCTGTCCAGCCAGAACAGGAGAAGTGACTCCCATGCACTCACCTGTTTGCGTGGGTGCGGCTGAGTCGGCCCTCGGGGGTACAGCTTCACCCTGGGTCGGAGGAGGTGCGCCCACCCATATTTAGTTTGTTGGGGTATGAAGCGGAAATGTTTGGAGTGTGCCAATCTGGCCGTACACCGGAAACTGCCTGCAGCCTGGGATGGACCTGGGATTCCTGTCTGGATCTAGAGTGTGCCGGTGAAGTGGGACCAAGGATGCACACGTTGGGGTGTGAGGGCGCTAGCACCCTTTGTAGCATCCAGACCCCATGTGGGTGTCGGTTGGCATCCGCTCTGCTTCACATCCAGTTCAGCTCCCTGCTAATGCACGCACGTGGGAAAGCAGCGGAACACGGCCCCGAGTGCTTGAGCCCTGCCTCCCACGTGGGAGCCAGGATGGCGCTCCCAGCTCGTGGCCTCAGCCTGGCCCAGCCGAGGGCTGCAGCCATCTGGGGAGTGAACCCCGGGATGGAAGATCGCTCTCTGTGCCACTCTGCCCTGAAACGAGTGAACCGCAGGGAGCCTCTGGTCCGGAAGGGAAGCCAGAACATCCACCCAGCAGCCCTTAGGTTTGTCTGCCATTTTATTTCCAGCATTTTCCATCCCAGACTTTGAGGAGCATCCTGTGGGCAGCAGATAGTGTCAGCTGTGCAGACATTGTGGGTGTCATTGAGCGCTCAGGGGTTTGGCTTTGGACTGAAGCATCTCTGTTCCAGAAAGTCTCCGAGCAGGCTGCCGAGTGGGGCAGACAGAGCAGGAAGCACGTTTCCCAAAGGGTCTTTGCTTCCGCTGTCTTCGGGGATTCTTCCCTCCAGGCATTGTCTGCCGTGAGACACAGTGAAGCCCCGGGAGGCCTTTGGGGCGTGTTGTCTCAGCTGTGTTCCTGGTCCAGTTCTCTAGAATGTTCGAGAGCATTCTAGGAGAAGCTTCATGGAGAAGGGAAGGGGAAGCAGGCAGGAAAAGTTCAGATCAGGGAGCTGCTTGTGGAGACCAGGGTAGCAGGATCAGAGCTGTGGGCCTGGGTCTGTGGCTGAGCTAGAGAGGGTGCAGGAAAGGTGAGGGAAGGCTTGCTGCCCTCTGCCACCAGTGCAGGTGGTCCTCTGAAGCCCGCACCTGCCATTTCAAAAAATATACACTTGTATTGCAAAGGCCTAGTTGCAGAGAGCAGGAGAGACAGAGAGATATTTTGCATACTCTGGTGTGCTTCTCAGATGGCCACAACAGCTAGAGCTGAGTCGATCAGGAGCCAGGAGCCAGGAGCCAGGAGCTTCTTCCAGGTCTCCCAGGCAGGTGCAGGGTCCCGAGCACTTGGACCGTCCCCCACTGCTTTCCCAGCTGCATCAGCAGGGAGCTGGATGGGAAGTGGAGCAGCCAGGACTTGAACTGGCACCCATCTGGGATACTGGCGCTGTGGACATAGGCTTAACATCCTACACCATTGTGCCTCTTTATGGAATTGAGAAGTTCTTTGCTTTCTTTGGGGGAAAAAAAAAAAGAGTATCCAGAAGTAAGCGGCCTGACCTGGGGCTGCTGGTTTTCTAGGGAACAGGTGGCTGTGGGCTCCGTGGAGTCCTGCTCCAGGAGACGGGGCAAAGAGGGAGGCATTACTGCCATCCGGACCCCCAGAACATGAGGTGGGTCAGCAGTTCCTAAGCGTGACCTTGGGAACCTGTGAAGGTTTGAGGCAGAGAGACTCCAGCGCCCCCTCCAGGTGTCTGCTCACCCTGGGCATTCTGGCCACGTGGGAAGGCACCATGCCACTTGCACGAGGTGACCTCCACTCCGCCCCGGGGCAGTGGCACTGGCTTTGCTTCTGTTGGCAGGCACCGGTGGCACGCATGTAAGCCTCATTGTGGATAACACCTTAAAAGAAGATTATGTATTTCTAAACTCTCCTTACTTATTTAAAAGGGTAAGCGGGAGACACAGAGACTAAGAGAGGGCTTCCATCCACTGGGTCACTCCCCAAATTGCCTCAACAGCCAGAGCCAAGCCAGTCCGAAGCCAGGAGCCAGGAACTTCCAACAGGTGTCCCACACGGGTGCAGGGTCCCACGGCCTTGAGCCATTGTCCACTGCTTTCCCAGGTCCATTAGCAGGGAGCTGGACAAAAAGTGGAGCAGGTGGGACTTGAACCAGCACCCACACTGGATGCTGGCTTTGCAGGGGGTGGTTTGACCCACTGTCGCATGACTCCAGCTCCTTCTGGTATTTCTTTGGCCTACAGCAGGTATCCTAGGAGAGCTCTGCCAGGTCTTGGCTCTGACCCACTTCCTTGGCCTGTGGACCTAGAAAAGTTCATTGCAATGTTAGGGGTGTCAAGCCCTTTTGCATCTTTTTCCAATGCTTGGGGTCTCTGTGTCCAGGAACGGGGTGGGGAGAGGAAATGAGAGCTTACCTGCCCCGGGCCAGAGTGTGGTTTCTCAGGAAGTCAAATTGAGACGGGCTGGAGTGGTATGTAGTAACTAAAGTCTCCGCCTGTGACGCCACTCTCCCATGTGGGTACAGGTTCAAATCCTGGCTGCTCTACTTCTCTTCCAGCTCCCTGATAACACACCTGGGAAAGCAGCAGAGAACGGCCCAAGTGCCTGGCACTTCATACCCACATCCTGGCTTCATGCCACTCATGCGGGAGACTCAGAGGAAGTCCCCAACTCCCAGCTTCAGCCCACTGCAGCCTGTCATTGTAGGGACTTGGCGGGGGAGAGAGCCAGCAAATGGAATCTCTATGTGTGTTGGTAGGGGGAATATGTGTGTGTGTCTTTGCTTCTCAAATAATCTTTTAAGACAAGGGGCTGAGGCTGGTGCTGTGGTGTCACAAATGAATTTTCATCCCCTACGGACGTTAGTTCCAGCTGCTCCCCTTCTGGCCCAGTCCCTGCTAAAGGCCTGGGAAAGCAATAGAGGACGGCCCAAATCCTTGCACCCCTGCACCCTTGTGGGAGACCCGGAGGAAGCTCCTGGCTTTGGATCAGCTTAGCTCTGGCTGTTGTGGCCACTTGGGGCATGAACCAGTGGATGGAAGATTCTCTCTCTGTTGAGTCTGCTCAGCACAGCGCACACCAGGTGCGTGCCTGCTTGGTTCTGGGTTTTGGCCGCTGCCCGGGCTGTTGCAGCAAAGGCAGCGGCTTCTCCCGGTGTCCCAGTGTCTCTTGCAGGGTTGTTGGTGGAGAGCTTGTTTAACCTGAGCAGGTGCTGTCTGCGTGTTCTGCCCAGCCTTCTGTAGTCTTGAGGGAGGCTGCTGAGACCCACGTGACCCCTGGCCAGCCCTCTGTGGAGAATGAGCCCCAGGGACTGCTCCCTGTCCAGATCCATGCTAGCCAGATTTTTGTCTTGCCAAGGGCCGGGGGAGGGTGACCTCTGGGGAGTGCTGGGAGGGCAGGCTGGGGGAGGGGCTGCTGACCAGGGCCGTGGGTTGGTTGGTGGTGCCCACGGTGAGGGTGGGTTGCCCTGGAGGTGAGGAGGGAGAGGAGCGCGCCCCAGCCTTGAACCCAGCTCAGGGGCAGGCTCTGGCCATCGAGCGCCTCAGCCTTGAACCCAGCTCAGGGGCAGGCTCTGGCCACTGGCTTGTTTGGATAATCTTTCCACTTTGGTTATTTTGGATTCTGGGAAATGCCTTGGAGGGTTAAGGAATGTTCTCTTCCTCTCCTGCCATGGGGTCATCGAGGGGCTCCTGGGAAGCGGGGAGGGGCGGCTGACACGTGCCCTCCTTCGCGTCCCCTGACCTCCACCCGCACCCCGCCCCCAGCCGGGCACACCTGGCCGTGCCTGTGTCCGCCCACGCTGGCCTAGCACACTGTCCCGGGCCGGCTGACCGGCTGGGAGGTCCAGGAGGTGGCCACATCCCCAGGCGGGATGGCCGTGAGAAATGCGGCTGAGCACTCCCCGTCGTGTGGTTGAAGCCTGGTGATGTCACTGCGTGACCCTGACTCGGAGCCCCAATGAGCTCATGCTGTCCTGTTTTGGTCACAGCCGCATTTTTGGGGCACTGTCTCATTGCCCATACGTCCCTGTGACTTCGTTTTTTATAAACACTGATAGGTTAGAGGTGACCTAAGTACAAACAATTCCTTCAAGTTCAACCCTTTAATGTGCTATTTGTGCAAATTGTTTTCTTTCTTTCTAAGGTTAACTTTTAGAAAGAGAAAGGATGGCTAATGAAAATTTTTAAAAAGATTTATTTATTTTTATTGGAAAGGTAGATTTACAGAGAGGAGAGACAGAGATTTTCCACCCGTTGGTTTACTCCCCATATGGTCGGAGCTGGGCCAGACGGAAGCTAGGAGCCAGAAGCTTCTAGCAGGTGGGTGCAGGGGTCCACGCACTTGCACCATCCGCCACTGCCTTTCCCAGGCCATAGGCAGGGAGCTGGATTGAAAGTGGAGCAGCCGGGCCCGGCGCGGTGGCGCAGTGGTTAAGGTCCTTGCCTTGCACGCCCGGGATCCCATATGGGCGCCGGTTCTAATCCCGGCGGCCCCTCTTCCCATCCAGCTCCCTGCCTGTGGCCTGGGAAAGCAGTCGAGGACGGCCCAAAGCTTTGGGACCCTGTACCCGTGTGGGAGACCCGGAAGAGGCTCCTGGCTTCGGATCGGCATAGCATCGACCGTTGCACTCATTTGGGGAGTGAATCATTGGACGGAAGATCTTCCTCTCTGACTCTCCTCTCTGTATATCTGCCTTTCCAATAAAAATAAATAAATCTTAAAAAAAAGAAAAAGAAAAAGAAAGTGGAGCAGCCAGGACACAAAGCAGAACCTATATGGCATGCCGGCCTCGCAGGTGGAGGAGTAACACACCACACCACAGTGCCGTGAAAATGGATTTTAAATTCAGTTTAATTCTGAGGATTTTAAAATTGGCTGTCTTAAAGAAACAAAGCAAAGCATGTGTTTCTAGAAGTTGGTGACGGAACAGACTGCATGGCCGGTCTGGGCCAGGCCGACTGAGCTCCTGGGAGACGCCCCGTGAAGCTAGGACAAACTCCCGGGCTTGGTTGGCAAGCACTGAGTACCCGGAAGCAGGTGAAGCTAGCTGCCCGCATGGCTGAGCCGTGTCCTGGCTCACACAGCGGCACTGGTGCCATTTCTGACCATGTCACCTTCGCCCTGTGCCCTGCAGGTGGTGACCTGTCGTGCCGTGGCCCAGGCTGTGCAGTTCTCTGTCAGCGCAGGGTCCGCCACTGCCCAGAGCTCAGGATGCGGCCTGTATGACGTGCGGCTCGCCCCGCTTCACTTGCAGGTGGGAAAACCAACTTGGAACCTTGGGGCGAGTGTGGCGCGGGTGTGGAGGCTGGGGGGCGTGGAGGCTGGGGGGGGTGTGGAGGCTGGGGTGCGGGCGTGGAGGCTGGGCGCGGGCGTGGAGGCTGGGGGGCGTGGAGGCTGGGAGCATGGAGGTTGGGGCGCGGGCGTGGAGGCTGGGGGCGTGGAGGCTGGGGCGTGGGTGTGGAGGCTGGGGGCATGGAGGCTGGACGCGGGCGTGGAGGCTGGACGCGGGCGTGGAGGCTGGACGCGGGCGTGGAGGCTGGGTGCGTGGAGGCTGGGGCATGGGTGTGGAGGCTGGGGCATGGGTGTGGAGGCTGGGAGCGGGCGTGGAGGCTGGGCGTGGGTGTGAGGAGTGTGGAGGAGCGCCCTCCGGTGGTAGTTTACAGTCGTGAGCTTACACAGCATCCGATCTGTGTGGAAAATCCAAGGGGGACACCTCCCCCCGCCACACACAGCACACGCATACACACATACACATGTGTATGTGCACACGCAGGTATGTGCACACGTGCCCTCAGATGGCTATACACACGTGCACATTTACACAGATACGCGCTTATTCACGCAATGCGCACGTGTGCAGCACACGTGTGTGGGTGCGCCCGCGTGTGAGTACATGCACGTGTGTGCCCTTGCAGACACCCCATACGTGTACAGCGACAGGCACATACATGAGTGTATAGACAGCTGGCTGGCTGGGCGCTGCTCTCGCCCACAGAACCCAGGGGGGCCGCAGCCACACCCGCAGCTGTTCCTTGCTGGGTGAGGTGCCACACATCCGGGCTCCTGGGAGGAGAGTGTGGATGCAGCAGGGGGCTGCCCTTCTGTCTCCCAGAGACACAGGAGGAAGGCGGCAGGGTGCCGTCACCTGTGGGCACCGTCTCCAGGGCACGTGGGCCTGGCCCCCGGGTCCCTCCTCCTCCTCCTCTCGGCTGAGCTCCTCCAGTGACGGAGACCCCAGGGTGCGATGGTGTCCGGTGCTACACCCCGAGGGAGGATGGGGTCCCCTTCCCACGGCGGGTCCAGGGCCAGCCGGGCAGTTGTCCCTATGAATACACAGATACGATGCACCCGTGTGCACACACATGTGGGGCTGGCAGATGACTGTGCAGCATGCATGCATGGGGGCATCTGATAAACACGCACACTGTGCACATTGCACACACGTGAACACACGTGATCATCAAATACATACATGTGCGCGTGCGTGGCCCTCAGAACTGCTTGAGAGGGCTGTTCCACATTAATCCTTCTTTTCCCTGTTTTTGCTAGCTGGAGTTCCGCCTGGAGGACCAGCGCGAGGACATCCAGGTCACGTGGTCCCTCCTCATGGCGCCCGAGATGGTCATTGACGTGCAGCCCCGAGCTCCAGGGGAGGTGGGTTCCTTGCTGAGGCTCCCCCAGCCGATGGGTGTGTGTGAGCCGCGTGCACAGGAGCGCTGGGACCGGGGTGCGGGTCTCACGCCTCGGACACCCACTGCTCCCTTCCTCCCAGCTCTCAGGCAGTGACAGGGAGAGAGACAGGGCTGTTCCATCTGCTTCACTCCCCACATGGCTGTGACAGCCGGGGTAGACCAGGCCGAAGTCAGAAGGCTGAAACTGCACCGGGGTCTCCCGCACGAGTGGCAAGGGCCCAAGAAGTGTGTGGGCCATCTCCCTTCCCTTTTGCAGGGAGGTCCCAACTCTGGCCCGTGTGTGCCCGCCGCCTGTCTGGTGCCCTGCCACTCCCTACATGGGACATGGGACACTCCTGCTTGCTTTATTCCGCCCAACTTGTTTACCTGCCCGGCCTGAGGCCTGCGCACCTGCCTGCTGGTCGCTGGGGCACTGCCCTCGCAGCTGTCCTGGGCACGTCCTCCTAGGGGTCAGAGCTGCCGCGGCCCCGTGCTGGGCAGGAATGGCCTTGGGGGCAGGGACTGGCAGGCAGAGAAGGAACTGGGCAGAGAGGTTGTCCTGGCAACCGCGGGGCAGCGTGTGAAATCTGACACCTGTATGGACAGGGGCTGACCTTTCACCCTTGGCTTCCTCCTCTAGCAGGAAGCTGTCAGAAAAAAGAAAAAGGGGATAAACAGACAACTTTGCTTGCGAGGACAGCCGCTGCGCTTGCCACCCAGCTCCCTGCTCACGTGCCTGGGAAAGCTGAGGGACCGCCTAGCTGCCTGTGGGAGACCCGCGTGGGACTTTAGGCGCCTGAGTTCAGCCCGGCCCGGCCTCTGCAGCCGTCTGGGGAGTGAGCCAGCACTGCAGGAGCAGATGGGTCCCAAGCTGCTCCTCCGGGCAATGCGAGGGTTAAATGGAGGAACACAGACATGCACAGAAGGGGAGTCATTGGGTGGAGAGTCCTCTGTGGCAGAGCAGTCCTGGCAGGGTGCAGCCCAGCCAGCCGGCCCTCCTCGCAGCAGCATGGATCGCCCCTGCTCTGGGCTCGCCTGCAGACCCCCACCCGCGCTCAGCTGCCCGCCAGCCCGGGCCTCCCGCTGCTTGAGGCCAGAGGCAGGTGCCTCGGGCAGAGTGCCTCAGCTCCCGTAGAAAACCTCCCACCGCATCCCATTCTGAGTTTAAAAACCAGAAGCTGAACAACGGAAGGAAGACGTGGGGGGAGGGGGGAAAGCACAACTGAATTGTCCTTGCAATCATAGCTTTTTAAAAATGGATCCTGTTTCTTTAAAAAAATAAAAGAGAGAGATGTGAGATGCAGAAATAGGTGTGGGTCTCCCTGAATGACCAGCTGCCCGCTCAAGTCAGCCCCCCAGGAATGCCCCCTGCACACAGCACTCGCCTCGCGTGACTGTGACCCCGACTCTTCACACGGGGTCTCTGCAGGGCGGGTGGGGTTGGCTCGCCCCGTCTCAAGTGGGTCCTGTGCTTAGTAACCAGTAGCCTGCCGGTGTGTCAGGTACAATGCTTCCAGAGCTGGGCTGGCCGGAATCCCGGAGCCAGGAGCCTCTTCTGGTCTCCCACACGGGTGCAGGGGCTTAGGCACTTGGGTGATCCTCGACTGCTTTCCCAGGCAATTAGCAGGGGGCTGAATGGGAAGTGGAGCAGCTGGGACTCAAACCAGCGCCCCTTTGGGACGCTGGCATTGCAGATGTCAGCTTTACCTGCTACCCCACAGCACCAGGCCCATGAATCTCACCCAAAGCCCCACCTTCCTGCTTCATCACCTCCCAAAGGTGCCGCATTGCAACCCCCTCCGCTGGGGGATGAGCTTTCAGCAGAGATTGTGGAAGCTTCCAGACAGGTGACTGTGTGGGGGGATTCCTTCATCAGCTGCCCCCAGGAGCACATGTGTCCGGGCGCCCACGCTCCTAGCGCCACCAGTGCTGGCACCCCCGTCCCCTGCTGGACAGGCTTGTCTGTGGTGTGCCCGCCCTTCAGTGTGGACTGACAGGATTTCCTCAGTGTAAGACCTCAGACTGTGCGTCCTCTCTCAGCAGGACCTGGTGCTGGACACGGACGCAGTGTCCGCGCTGCTCCGCGGCATCCTCAAGGGCCTGGTCAGCTCTGCCTCTGCGTCCCTGGTCCTGAGCGCCAGGCCGGCCCACGTGCACGACCTCCAGGTAAACCCTCCCGCCGGCGGTGGCTGCCTCAGAGCCCTCCCGCGTGGCTGGGGCCCCCACGTGCGTGTGCCCTGTGAGGCCATGGTGTGAAAGTTGGGTCGGCTCCCTCCCCCAGCAGGCCCTGGGGCTCTGCCTTGCCTGAGCCCGAACTTGTCACCGTCCCACCCCCTGACAACTACCATCTGGGCAGGGGGTGGCGCCAGAGACCCTGGGACATGGCACAGCTGCCAGTTGGGCACAGGGGTAGATACTGAGGCACCCAGGGGTGGGCAGGCCGGCAGAGGGCAGCGGTGAGCGTTGGGGGGGGGGGGTCACTCCTGCTGCCCAGGGCGTGAGGCCAGGGCAGGGGTGGCTCAGCAGGGTCAGCCCACATTCCCAGGAGGAGAGCGGAGCCGTGGGCACCGTGGCTGTCCACAGCCGCCTTGCGGCAGATGAAGGCCTGGTTGTCTGGAACACGACAATACACTCCTAATGTCACAATCTGAGATAATAGCACGCCTTCAGGACCTACAGGTTAAGAAACTAAGAACTCGAAGTGGCATAGATCTAATCATGCTACGTTTGAAACATGTTTATTTGAGAGGCAGTGCTGCAGAACCGCTGGTTCGCCACTCCCACCTGCCTGACTGAAACAGCCTGTGTCGGTCACTCCTGGGCAGGGCCACGCAGGAGCCTGGACCCTCAGCCGGCTCTCCCACTTGGGGACAGGGGCCCAAGCACTTGAGCTGTCTTTCGCTGCTCTCCCAGGTGTGTTAGCAGGGAGCCGCACTGAAGGGGGAGCAGCCACGGAACTAACGAAACCACCTGAGCAGAACCCTCAGAACATGCTCCACGACAGGGACCCTGGATGACGCTGGGTGGCCATTCCCATCCCGGGTACTGAGGGGAGCAGGGTGTATTATCTCCCATCGTCTCCTCCTCTGCCCCAGATACAGGAAGAAGGAAAAGCAAATGTGGAAACAATGGTCTTGCCCATTTTTCCCTGACCCTTGACCCTTCCCATCCTGATCAACTATGTAAACATCAAAAATAAATTTTTTAAAAAAATGTAGCACCCAGGACTTGAACCAGTACTTGTGTGGGATGCCAGCATTACAGGCAGTGGCTTAACCTACTCGAGATCTGATCACACTCTTACCACCTGCAGTGCTGGCATGGCACATGAGGGCCACTTCAGGTCCTGGTTGCTGCACTTGCGACCCAGCTCCCTGTGCCCAGGGACGCAGCGAAGGATGGATCAAGTGCCCGGGAGACCTGGATGAGGCTCCTGGCTTCCGACTGGCCTAATCCCCAGCCACTGTGGTTATTTGGGGAGTGAACCAGCGGATGGGAGATTCTGTAACTCTGCCTTTCAAATAAATAAGTAAATCTTTAGAAGTAAATGAGGAGTTTGTGGCCCCAGCACCCCCAGCATACTGGGGAGACTTCTCCAAGAAGCCTGAGTGTGCAACGCATGTCTGCTACTGGGCATTGGCTCATGTGTCTGCTGTAAGCTGGTTGGGGATGAGGGGGTACAGAGCTGGGGTCATATCTGAGGGTCCCCAGTGCTCCAGGGGGCTTTCAGTGCCCTGTGTGCCAATTCAGGTGTTCATGCAGCCACACACCTCCCACGCTCACTGGCAGGGCATTTGGCCCAGGGCCTGGGTGCCCATAGTCCAGCAGCACTGACAACAACTGGGAAGATAACCCATCCCCGTGCCAGGCCCGTGGGTGGCTGAAGCCCAGAGGACTGTGCAGGTATTTCCGCTTTGTCACTTCCTGCGTCCTCCAGCTCCCAGCTGGGAGGTGCCTCAGGCACGCTGCGTTTTCTGGGTGGTCCCCTTGAGAGCGTCACAGCCCCCCCCCCCCCCGAAAATCATTCTGGGCCAAATCAGCATTCAGGGCTTTGCCTGGAACGGTCTGGCTACACAGTACAAGAAGCCAGCCTGGTGAGCCGAGCGGGGCAGGCTGGGTGGATCCGTGGTGGTACTGGTGTGGGGCTGCCTGGCGCCCCCTTGAGGATGGGGTAGGAATGTTGTCGGTGCACCTGCTCCTGACCCTCCCTGTAGAAGATGCTGTGGTGTGGACCAGCAGGTGTGTGGCAACCTAACCTCTGTCCCATGTCCCCGCTGCCTCTGCTCCATCTCCTCCTCTGCTCCTCTCACAGAGCCCCCAGCACGCCCCAGCCACAGCCCAGGAGCCCTGCCCTCGCAAGCCACCCCGGGCTCACGACCTGAAACTGCTGGTGAGGAATGTGCGAGCTTCATTGTTGAGCCACCCTGGTGCCCTGGGTGAGTCCCTGGCCGCAGGGGGCGTGGGGCTGGAGAGGGACACCCCGCTGTAGGGGGGAGTGGCCTGGGAGTGTTTAGGCAGTGTCTGTGCCACGGACCCTGCTCTGACGAGCTTCTTACGCTGCTGTCCCTGCCCCCACAGAAGGCCCCCGTCTGTGCTCCCCGAGGCCAGGAAAGGGAGGGCTGGGGCTCTTACTTTGCCCTATTTCTTCATTTAGTGGTTCTTTTCTCTTTTTAAAATGTATTAACTTATTTGCAAGGCAGAGTGACAGAGAGAGGGAAAGACAGAGAGAAAGCCCTTCCAGCCGCTGCTTCACCTCCCAAATGGCTGCAGTGGCTGGCGCTGAGCTGAAGCCAGGAGCTTCTCTCCGATCTCCCACAGGGACCTTGGTCAGAAGTAAAGCAGCCTCAACTTGAACCAGTGCCCATATGGTGCCAGCACGGCAGGCAGCAGCTTTAGGCACTGTGCCATGGCACCAGCCCCTTACTCTTTTCCTGAGCCAGCCTGTCACTCACTAGCCCTCCCTCTCCCCTGTGGAGCCGTCAGCTCACGGTTGACACCCTCATGGGTGTACAGCCTCTACCTTCCTGAAAGGTTGGGGTGGGGTGTGGTCTGCAAGCGTGATTGATGGATGTCTGAGGCCCGTGGCTCCCTAGGTACTCCTTGGAGCTGGGGGGTAGCTGCTGTCGTGTGAACACAGAAGCCCCGGGTGGCCCAGCGCTTGGTCCTTGGGACGCACACATCCGCCCCCTGCAACTCCGTTTTTCTAGAAACAGGAACCAGTTCTTTGAAGGAACTCTCAGGGAACATAGGGCATTCCTGATCTTCATTCTGGGGGCCTCCAGCCTGCAGCTGAGGGCATGCCAAAGCACCTGTTCGTGGCTGTCCCAGCCTGTGCTGCTCTGCGGCTGGGTGGGCTGCCCAGGCACAGCTGGCCAGGGTTGGGTCCCTGAGCACCTGCACCTGCTGTGAGGTCGCACTCCTCACCCTCCCTGCTAGGTGGTCCCTCTCTGCAGGTCAGTCTCTCCCAGGAGTGTAACCTGTGTGTATCGTGCCTGACCTGGTGCATGGTACAAGGCAGACAGGGTGGAAGCTGGAGTAGCCCGGTGCCTTGGCAGCCTGACTAGTGGAATGAGCAGGACTTGCCACGAGCCCGTTGCATGCTGGGAGCTGGGAAGTGGATTCTGTGATGTGTGGCACCCTGTGCAGAGCCTTCCCATGCTCAAGTTTAGACTTGAAGCTCAGCCTCTCTGCAACGAGCTGTTAGTGTTGTCTGAAAGTGGGGGTCCCCTCCGGTGTCCCACACCCAGCCCTGCTTCCTGCTGTTGCGCACGGTGGGAGGCAGCAGGGAAAGGCGGAGGTAGTCAGGCGCGTGTGGCCTGCCGAGTTCCCTGGCCCTGGCGGCCGTCCAGCGCAGCCTCAGTCACTGCCGGTGTCTGGGGTGTGGGCCAGTGTCTTGGAGCGTGTTCGCTTTCTCTCCCACCTCCACCTTCTCTCTCTGCCTTGCAAATATATAAAATTAGAAAAAGTAAAAGTGGAGACCACCTGTGAGGAAGGGTTCCCCCCGCCTGGGAGTCCCACCTGAAGCCAGGACTGAGGACAGAAATGAGGCTTTTGGGGTCAGCCTGGGGCAGTTAGGGTCAAGGCCAGCAAGAAATTCTTCAGGGGCCACGCAGCCCGGGACTTTGAGTGTTTGTAAATGCTGCACCGACGATGGGCAGCAGCTGAGGCTCACCGGGGCAGCTGCGTCATCTCCGTGCGTACGGGGTTCCGCGGGTGAGCAGACCCTGCAGGCTGATGCTTCTGTGCCCTCCGCTCTGTTGCAGGCTCCGCTTGCGCCGTGTGCACAGCTCAGCTGAACGACCCCGCACAGAGTTTCTCCAGCTCCCTTGCAAGGAACACGACCGAGCTCGCGTGGGGAGAAGAGTTCACCTTGTGAGTCTGCCCAGTGCAGCCCAGCGCTGCCCCATGGGCCCGAGGTCATTGGGCAGCACCCGGGATTGCAAAATGAACAGCACCATGTTGGCATCTGGAGGCCATCCTGCTATTTTTATTGTTATTTGAAAGGCACACACACACACACACACACACACACACACACACACACACACACACACAGAAGGTCTGCAACAGCTGGAGCCGGACCAAGAGCCGAGAAAGCCGCGCGGGTCGCCACGTGCGTGACGTCGGGGACAGAGGCTCCTGTGGTGAACGCAGAAGCCCCGGGTGGCCCGGCGCTTGGTCCTTGGGACGCACACATCCGTCCCCTGCCCCAAGGACGGGAGCATCACCAGATGCCTCCTGGCATCCAGACGGAAGCTGGTACTCCAGCATGGGACACGGGCTTTCCAAGTGCCAGTTCAGCTGCCAGGCCAGCCGCCTGCCCGAGCTTCTCAGTAAAGCCAGCTGTGGGGTCAGTTTGTCCATGTGCCTGGCTGTGACAAGGTCACGTTGCCATGGTTACCTTCCTTCCAGAACAGGATAGAAGGACATGTGTGATAGACTCCAAGACTGGATAGTGAGAATAGAAAGTGGGGGATAGAGTACTCAGAAGTCAGGGTGCAAGAATCTTCTAGAAAATGTTATGCAGTTTAGGTGGGGCCAGAGGCAGGTGTCTGGTTAAGACACTGCTTAGAGGTGCCTGGGTCGCATGTCAGAGGACCTATGCTCAAGGGCCACCTCCATTTCTTTCTCTTCTTAAAGAAAAAAAGAAGCCTTTCTATTTTGAGAGAGAGAGCTCGTCAGCTGCAGATTCGCTTCCCAGTTGACCACACTGAGCAGCCCAGGTTGAAGCCAGGAGCTTCTTTCAGTCCAGGGTGCCAAGGCCTTGGCCCATCCTCCTCTGCTTTCCCAGGTGCACCAGCAGGGAGCTGCTGGGAAGTGGAGCAGCCGGGACTGGAACCAGCACCCATAGGGAATGCTGGCACCCCACGTAGTGGGTTCACCCACTGCGCCCCAGTGCCGGCCACGCTGCCTCCGTTTCTGATTCTGTTTCCTGTTAAGGTGCACCTTGAGGGCCAGCAGACAACGACCGAGGGCTTGGTTCCTCGCCAGCCACGGGGGAGCGGCAGGCGGAGCTCCTGGCTCCTGGTGTGGGCATTTGAGGCGTGACCTGGCAAATGAGCGAGCTCTCTCTGTCACTTTGGCTGTGGACTCTTTGCCTTTCCAATAACACAAATACAGAAATGGTTAACGAACATCGGAACACTCCCTTAGCAAACTGACAAACTTCCGAACTAGACATACAAAAGCAAGGGCTAAGGATGGCTATGAGCCTCTAGGAAGATGTTCCTTCTGAGAAATAAGGCATATAAACTGGAGCTAGATGTTGTGCTTTGTGGTTGAACACTCATAGCAGTACTCAGCTTGGGACAATTAGCGAACACTGAATGTAAGCAACCTGTTATTGAGGGTTAGTGAGTGGGGATTTAGCTAAATAAAGCACCAGACGGCTACACAGCAAAAAAAATCTGATGCCTGCTAAAAATATGTTGCTCCTTTTTTAAAAAAAAAAATTATTTGAAGCCAGGAGCTGTTTCAGATCTGCCACGAGGGCACAGGGACTTGGGCCGCCTTCTGCTGCTGTCCCAGGCCACTCGCTGGAGCCAGCTTGCAAGTGGGATAGCTGGGACTCAAACCTGCCATATGAGACACCGACATTGCAGGCAGTGGCTTTACCCGCCATGCCACAGTGCCAACCCCTCAATAGGAGACTAGCATGGTGGCATAGTGAGTTAAGCCTTTGCCTGGGGTGCTGGCTTCCCATATGAGTACCCATTTGAGTCCCAGCTGCTTCACCTCCAATTCAGCTCCCTGCTTGTGGCCTGGGCCCCTGCACCCGCGTGGGAGACCCAGGTGAAGCTTCTGGCCCAGCCCAGGCTGTTGTGGCCATCTGGGGAGTAACCAGCAGGTGCAAGGTCTGTGTGTCTCCCCTTTTCTGGACTCTGCCTTTCAAATAAGCAAAAAAAATTTTTTTTAATTCAAAATCTTCGTATAGCTTTTTCATTGTTTTAATTTGGAAGGCATTTAGAAAAATATTTATTTTTATTAGAAAGTCAGATATACAGAGAGAAGGACAGACAGAGAGGAAAATCTTGCATCTGTTGATTCACTGTCCAAGTGGCCACACTGGCCAGAGCTGCGTCGATCTGAAGCCAGGACCCAGGAGCTCCTCTGGGTCTCCCACATGTGTGCAGAGTCCCAAGGCTTTGGGCCATCCTCCACTGCTTTCCCAGGCCACAAGCAGGGAGCTGAACGGGAAGCAGGACTGCTGGGATTAGAACCGGCGCCCATATGGGATCCCAGAGCGTGCTAGGCAAGGACTTTAGCCACTAGGCTACCATGCTGGGCCCTTAAATAAGCAAAATCTTAAAAAAAAAAAAAAGTTCCTTTGAAACCCACGCACAGCCTTTCGCTCATGTATGTTTTGTGGAAGTCTGCGTGGCGCCCTGGCATAGCACGCGAACTGCCAGCTGTGGGCAGCAAAACGAAACACACCACTGCCTTGTGAAGGATTCCTGGTTTCTCCCCCTTCTTGCAGTGAGCTGAATGCCAAATCTAAGGAGCTGCACCTGCGTATCTCAGAGGACGGGCAGCCCTCAGGTGAGTGACGGGTGGCTGGCCGAGGAAGGGACAGGTGGGCGGCCCCTGCGAGGTGGCCTGCCCCGCGCGTGACGCACTCCAGGTTTCCTGGGAGGCGTGTTGAGGCAAAGGCAGTTGTGTTGCTGACGCTGAGCTAGAGGAGAATAGCGGACCATGGCGTGGGAGATGCTGACCGTGGCACCGGGCATTTTGGGTCGTTCTCCATCACACCCGTCTTTTTTTCCTCCTTTTGGAAAAGCCCCTCATGTATTTTGGGAAGATGATCAACTGGTTTATTGAGAAGGATTCAAGGACTGGGTGCTTGGCCGTCAGTTTAGATGGACATATCCTGTAGCAGAGTGCCTGAGTTCCATTCCCAACCTAGGGTCCAGCTTCCTGCAAGTGTAGACCTGCCTGCGAGGCCACGGGGACGGTCCCTGGGCTGCGGCCTCCCGCCTGCGAGGTCATGGAGATGGCCATGGTCCCTGGGCTGCGGCCTCCCACCCACAAGGCCTGCATGGTGTTCCTGGCTTTGGCGCTGGCCCAGCCCTGGCTGTTGCGATCATTTGGGGAGTGAGCCAGCGCCCACACCACTGATTCAGTCATGTGCAGCTGTCTCCCTGCCTCCCCCAGCCATCTGCAGAATTCTTTGCATTTTTCCAGGCTGAACCTGTGCTGCCTTAGTTCCTGACTTGCTCTGTCCTCTCCTCTCAACCCCTGGCTCTACTTCCCATCGCCTGGCCTTGCTCTGTAGAATCAGTCACAGTGGCTTAGCTGGGACAGAACAAAGCACCAGCCTCGGTCGTGGTCATTCCAGTGCACTGGGGCCTGTGTGCACCTGTGGATGAACCTGCAGCTTCCGGCCCTGCCCAGGGCTGTCAGATTCCCCCCGGCACAGGTGGAGAAGTGGGGATCCCATGCTTGGCTCACCCAGCTGTGACACCAAGCCACTGGCGATCACTCCGATCCTGCAGATCCTGCCCAGACACTAGGTGATCCGAAGCCACTGCCGCTTGAGTCACCCAGTCCCCAGAGGGCACAGGTCGGAGCCGGGGGGCCCAGAGGGATGCCCAGTCCCCAGTGCCCAGCACGCTCCTGCAGGTCCTTCCAGCACAGCCCGATGGTATCCACATGTCAGACTGCAAGGCACAGTGCACAGACGCCCTCCAGCCCTCTGCTCCAGCCCATGTAACTTTGCCCAGTTTTCCTGCATTGGTTTGTGCTCACGCACTTGCTCACTTCCTCCTTCTGTCTTGCTCTCTCTTCACATACAAACACATACACACCCACATGCATGTGCACGTGTGTACATTCACACCAGTGCACCCATGCATACCACACACACATGCATGCATTTGTGCAATCTAAGCAAACGCACGGGTGCACACACGTGTCCACAGATACAGGCATGGGCACACTCCACAGGCACCGCTGTGTGCTCACACACGAACGTGAACTGCACAGGGAAGCTTGCATTGCATCAGGTGAGGGGGCTGCTCCCTGCTGCACACACCTGCACACACCTGCACACACCTGCAGACACCTGCACACACCTGCGCACACCTGCAGACACCTGCACACACCTGCGCACACCTGCAGACACCTGCACACACCTGCGCACACCTGCACACACCTGCACATACCTGCGCACACCTGCACACACCTGCACACACCTGCGCACACCTGCACATACCTGCAGACACCTGCAGACACCTGCACACACCTGCGCACACCTGCACACACCTGCAGACACCTGCACATACCTGCGCACACCTGCACACACCTGCCCACACCTGCCCACACCTGCAGTCCCGCTGTCCGACTTAGGTGACCGGGCTGCCCCCATCCCCGCCTGCCTCCCAGCATCGCCCGGGAACTCAGCAGCCGGGTCCCAGCAGGAGGACCCCGAAGGAGGTCAGCCCCTCTGAATTTTCTGGCATTGACCTTTAGACACATTCCAACCTGAAATGCAGAGTTACAGAGAAGGGGCTGAGATCTTCCATCCGTCGGTTCACTCCCCGAGGGGCCACATGGCTGGAGCTGAACCAGTCCCAAGCCAGTAGCTTCTTCCAGGCCTCCCATGTGGATGCAGGGGCCCAGGTCCTTGGGCCATCTTCTGTTCTCCCAGGAAATTAGCAGGAAGCTGGATGGGAAGTGGAGCAGCCAGGATTTGAACTGGCACCCATAGGAAATGTTGGTGCTAAGGCAGTGGCTTTATGCACTATGCCTCAGCACCAGCCCCTCTCTGTCTTTGCAGGTTGGCTGGCGGTAGCCACGGTCCCGTTAGATTTATTTAAGAAGCAGCCTTCTGGACCCCAGAGCTTTGCGCTGGCCAGCGGCTCCGCGTTCAGCGGCCCCGTGTTGGGCTCCGTCACTGCTGAGGTAGGTTCGTGGCCCAGCCTCTCCCTGGGTCTAGTCCTGCTCTGCCCACTGCTGGAAGGAGCCTGGTAACCTGCTCCCAGGTGGCACAGCGGGTGGCTCGTGACCTGTGCAGTCCAGCCCATGGGTGGTTGTGGTCTCGGCTGTGGCAAGTTTGCACTTTGCCCCCTCAGGGGGCTGACGCCAGGAGACCTGCTTGGTCCCCCAGCTTTTATTCCCACTGTTTTGGGTGGAGGCGGCTCTGTCTGGGTCTCCTGGTTTGCTGTCTTCCCCTTCACAGCAGGGATGGAGCATGGTTGGTACTTGGTCCTCCAGTGACCACACCCTTTTCTGCAGTTTTTGTACGTAGAACCTGGTGAATCCAAGGGCTGGCAGGCCCCGCTCCCTACACCTGCTACAAAGATAGAAAAGGATCGCACGGTGATGCCGTGTGGCACCGTGGTCACCACCGTCACCGCTGTGAAGACCAAGCCTCGATTCGATGTGGGCAGGGCCTCCCCGCTGAGTTCCGGTGAGACCCCCGGCAGTGTCCCACCTGTAGGCCCTATGAGCGCTGGCCTCCGTTTTAAGATTTGTTTGTTTGACTGGCAGAATGGCCAAGAGAGGGAGGGAGGAGGGGAAAGAAACAGGGAGGTCTGATGTTGGCTAGTTCACTCCCCAAGTGTCCACTAAGGCCGGACCTAAGGCCTGTTCCCCCACAGCCACGATGGGGACCAGGGGCTCACTCCCCGACGGCCACGATGGGGACCAGGGGCTCGCTCCCCTACGGCCACGATGGGCGGGCCCAGGAGCTCACTCCCCGACGGCCACGATGGGCGGGCCCAGGAGCTCACTCCCCGACGGCCACGATGGGCGGGCCCAGGAGCTCACTCCCCGACGGCCACGATGGGGACCAGGGGCTCACTCCCCGACGGCCACGATGGGGACCAGGAGCTCACTCCCCTACGGCCACGATGGGGACCAGGGGCTCGCTCCCCTACGGCCACGATGGGGACCAGGGGCTCACTCCCCGACGGCCACGATGGGGACCAGGGGCTCACTCCCCTACGGCCACGATGGGGACCAGGAGCTCACTCCCCGACGGCCACGATGGGGACCAGGGGCTCACTCCCCTACGGCCACGATGGGGACCAGGAGCTCACTCCCCGACGGCCACGATGGGGACCAGGGGCTCACTCCCCTACGGCCACGATGGGCGGGCCCAGGAGCTCACTCCCCGACGGCCACGATGGGCGGGCCCAGGAGCTCACTCCCCGACGGCCACAATGGGGACCAGGAGCTCACTCCCCGACGGCCACGATGGGGACCAGGGGCTCACTCCCCGACGGCCACGATGGGGACCAGGGGCTCACTCCCCTACGGCCACGATGGGGACCAGGGGCTCACTCCCCGACGGCCACGATGGGGACCAGGGGCTCACTCCCCTACGGCCACGATGGGGACCAGGAGCTCACTCCCCGACGGCCACGATGGGGACCAGGGGCTCACTCCCCTACGGCCACGATGGGCGGGCCCAGGAGCTCACTCCCCGACGGCCACGATGGGCGGGCCCAGGAGCTCACTCCCCGACGGCCACAATGGGGACCAGGAGCTCACTCCCCGACGGCCACGATGGGGACCAGGGGCTCACTCCCCGACGGCCACGATGGGCGGGCCCAGGAGCTCACTCCCCTACGGCCACGATGGGGACCAGGGGCTCACTCCCCGACGGCCACGATGGGGACCAGGGGCTCACTCCCCTACGGCCACGATGGGCGGGCCCAGGAGCTCACTCCCCTACGGCCACGATGGGCGGGCCCAGGAGCTCACTCCCCTACGGCCACGATGGGGACCAGGGGCTCACTCCCCGACGGCCACGATGGGCGGGCCCAGGAGCTCACTCCCCGACGGCCACAATGGGGACCAGGGGCTCGCTCCCCGACGGCCACAATGGGGACCAGGAGCTCACTCCCCTACGGCCACGATGGGGACCAGGGGCTCACTCCCCTACGGCCACAATGGGGACCAGGGGCTCGCTCCCCTACGGCCACAATGGGGACCAGGGGCTCGCTCCCCTACGGCCACAATGGGGACCAGGAGCTCACTCCCCGACGGCCACAATGGGGACCAGGGGCTCGCTCCCCGACGGCCACAATGGGGACCAGGGGCTCGCTCCCCGACGGCCACAATGGGGACCTAGCTCATTCCCTCACGGCCACAGTGGGGACCTGTCTCCCCCAAAGCCACAACGGGGATCCGGGAGCTCCCTGTACGTCTCCCAGGTGGGTGCAGGAGCCCTAGTGCTTGAGCCATTTTGCCCTCTCCTCTCCAGTGGATAAGAAGCAGAGCAGCCACGGCAAACCTGTGCTCCAATGTCACATGCAGTGACTTAACCACTGCACCCCTGCACCAAGTGCCTCTTTTTTTTTTTTTTTTAAGATTTCATTTTATTAGAAAGGCAGATTTGCAGAGAGGAGAGACTGAAAGAGCTTCCATCTACTGGCTTACTGCCCAGATGGTCGCATTGGCCAGAACTGACCTAACATGAAACCAGGAGCCAGGAACTTCTTCCAGGTCTCCTACATGAGTGCAGGGGGTACCCATGTACCCTGTTGCTTTCCAGGACACAGGCAGGGAGCTGGATGGGAAGCAGGACAGCCCGGACATGAACCAGGGTCCATATGGGATGCTGGTGCCTGGAGATGGGCTAGCCAGTTGAGCCAACACGCTGGTCCTACCGCCAAGTGCTGTTAAGAACATCTCAGGGCTGGCACCATGGCAGAGCAAGCTAAGCTTCCACCTGTGGCCATGGCATCCCACATGGGCACCGGTTCAAGTCCTGGCTGCTCCGCATCTGGACCAGCTTCTTGCTTATGACCTGGGAAAGCAATGAAGAATGACTCAAATCCTTGGGACCCTGCACTCACGTCGGGGATCTGAAGGAAGTTGCTGGCTCCCAGCTTCGGTCTGGCGCAGCTCCAGCCACTGGAGCCATTTGGAGAGTGAAACAGCAGATGGAAGAGCTCTCTCTCTCTGCTTCTCCTCTGTAATTCTGCCTTTCTAAGAAATTTAAAATAATGGAGAAATAAATCTTAAAAAAACAAAACCAACCCACAGCCCAGGAGCACAGGTCCCGGGCAAGGCCGGCCTGTCTTGTTGTTGGGCGGTAACCTTGGGGGTCATCGGGAGCTGTAGCCTGGCACCCATTCCTGTGCGGACACTCTGCGGCCACACTTGGCTCAGGTTCCCCACCCTGTGTCGTCCACCGGGGCCACCGCCACACGCGGCCCTGGGTGACCGAGGTCTCCCCTGCAGAGTCACCCGTGAAGACGCCTGTCAAGGTGAAGCTCATTGAGAAGGACATCTCCATCCAAGCCATCCCCTGCCACGGCGCGCCCGTCAGCAAAGCCTTCTCGGCCTCCGACACAGGTAGCCCGCGCCTGGCCTGGGCCCCTAGTGCTCCGTGCGCTCCGCGGCTCTAGCCTGGGAGGTGGCCGCTGCGGAGTCTGGGGAAACCACTCTTCTCCTTCCTACCTGCCCTCTCCTCTCCCCTGCCCCTTCCTCTCTCTTCCCCTCTCCCCCCTTCCTTCCACACCGCTCCCTCCTTCCCATTCTGCTTTCCCTCCAAGCCTCCGCTGTGGGGGGACTTGGCCCAGCACCCCTGCTGCTGACTCCTTGGCTGTGTGTGGGTGCGGTTCTCCTGTCCAGGCTCTGCTGTTTGTTTTCCTGTCCTTGAGAGGCACAATGAGAGAGCGAGGATCTCACTCCCCAAGTGGCCGCAATGGCCAGAGCTGAGCCGGTCCAAAGCCAGGAGCCTGGGGCTTCCTCAGGGTCTCCCACGTGGGTACAGGACCCGAGGCTTTGGGCCGTCCACCACCTTCCCAGGCCACAGGCAGGGAGCTGCGCGGGAAGTGGAGCAGCCGGGACTCGAGCCAGTGCGAGGCTTTTCCTGCCAGGCCACACTCACCAACCCCAGAGTGTGAAGTTTAAGTGAACTCTTCATTGAGCTTCCCGTAAGCACGTTGGCAGTCATGTAGTAGACCCCAGGCAGCAAACTGGCCAAGAGACTGCGCCTTGGCCATCACTGGCACTAAAGTTTTATTGGAACCCAGCCGTATGGTGACACAGCTCCTGGCTGCGTTCAGACTTAGAGCCTGCCGCTGCATGCACAGGTGCTCACTGCCCTGCCTCCCATCCCGCCCCACCCCTGCAGAGCTGCTGATGCTGAACGGCCTGGACCCCGTGGCCGAGGTAGCCATCCGGCAGCTCAGCGAGTCCTCCAAGCTGAAGCTCAAGTCGCCCCGGAAGAAAAGCACCATCATCATATCGGGGATCTCCAAGGTATGGCACTGGGGGCTTCCAGAAAGTTCCGCTTCTGGTCACCACCCAGCGAGGGCGGCTGCCCTGTATTTGGGGGACACAGCACACAGGTTCTTGGGGATGGGGGCAGCTGTGTGTTCAGAGGGTGGCGTGAGGTTGCACCCCGCTGGGTCATGCTATTTAGTTAGTTTTGCCATGAGTGTGTATTTCTGTGACTGGAGAGAAGTAAGGATGGTTGCAGACAATGTCCCTCACTTGGTCTCTCTCCCCGCCCCCAACTGCTGGAGGGATAAGCCCCGTGCCGGCCATGGCCTGCTCAGGGGATGCTGGGATCTTCTGCTTGTGTCCGAGAGGGAAGCTGGGAAGCCTGTGGAATGGGGGGAAGCAAGAGGCAGGATGGAGTGTGTGCTGACAGTGGACCGCTAGGAGGGGCCCAGGAGGGCCCGGCAGGTGCTGCTGGTGACTGGGAGCCTTGCCGCGGCGCCCAGGGTGTGCAGCCTTGAGCGGCTGTCGGGCTCCTGCATGCAGCTCCTGAGGCCACCAGGAGGGGGCGATGTCTGAACTCGCGATGGGCTGCAGCAGCAGGAATGCACCTGTCGCTGCCGCTGGAGGCCCTGCGCCCAGGCTGCACGGAGAGCTGCCCAGCGCCGCTGGCAGCAGACACACCTTGTTAGGGGGCAGGCTGCCAACTTCGCAGCTCTACCCCCCACAGCTGGCTGACTTTTCTGCTCACCCTGATGGTGCCTTCTGCCGCCACAGACCTCACTGACTCAGGACCATGACGCTGCCCTGATGCTGGACTATGCAGCCTCCATGGACAGTACCCGCCAGGAGGACATGCCGACTGCCCTCTCCTGCCCCGAGGAGGTGGCCCCGGCCTCGGCCCCGCCTGCTGAAGATGAGCCTACCCAGGTCCCAGCTGCTGCTGCTGCTGCCGCCGCCACCAGGCCCCAGGAGGATGAGCTGGAGTCCTGGGACTCGGAGAAGGAGTCCCCACAGGGGGCAGCCTGGAGCGGCCGGGTCCCGCAGGAGCCTGATGGGGACGCACTGTCTGAAAGTTCTCTCAGTGTGTCGGAGCTGGAACCTGGTGCAGTCAAGAAGCAAAAAGGTACACATCCCAGCCCTCCCCGCGGCTCAGTTCCCACGCTTGCCAAGGGCTCCAGGTCCCCTGTGCTCACCTCCTTTCCCTTGGTTTTGTCCCGTCCCACGCCATCCCGACCTGCCCCAGGTAGCTGGTGCTGGATGTGTGAGCCCTGGGATGGGGGCGCATCAGGGTCCTTGCGTGGGGACAGGCTGGGTCAGCCCTGCGATGAACGGGCATTGGTTTCTGCCTGGGCTCCTGTGGTGGGAGTTGAAGCCGCCAGGACCCTCCAAGGCATCCGCAGGAGCCGCTTCTGGTGCCGACCAAGTTGTGGAGCAAAGCCAGGCAGGCAGAGCCCGGGGTGGAGGAGTTGTGCCTCTGCAGTGGTGCCTGGTAATCTGCAGGAACTGCTAGCCCAGCCCAGCCAGGCAGCTCTGTACAGGGTCAGGGTCCCTCACCTGGGATGAGACTTAGATTCTGGGATCTGGGTGTCAGCATGGAATGGTGTGTGTGTCTCACAGAACCCACATGCATGCTAGCTCAGGTGTTGGCAGCTAGAGTTTTTAGTGTGTCTTCTTCCTTGCCCCATCCCATGGGGTCAGGTGTGCAATCTCCCACTCTTGGGGTCCCCTAAGTGCTCAGGAAACGGGGTATCAGAGCCCCTGGGGTGTTGGGGTTGTGCGTCAGGATTGCTGAACCTGTGTGTAGGGTGCCATCATTACTGCCCTTTTCTCAGCTTGAACCAGTGCCTTGGTTGGACTGCACGGGGGCCATGGTTTGACCCACATGCTCCTTGTGAGATGGCCACTGCAGGTGGCCTCGACATGAGACATTGCAAGCTGAGGACCTCGGGAGCTCACTACCCAAAGCCCCTGTGTCCAGTGGGGTGCATAAGCCAAGCTGTGCTCTGAGCCATGGGTGACCCTAGGTGTGGATTTGCACTGAGGCACCCCGGTTGGACCCAGGAACCAGGCTGTTGGCATTGGGGGGCCAGGGGTGGAGGTTAGCACTGCAGCTGGACGTCCCATGGAGAGACCACAGCCCTGTCCGACGCAGCCTTGCCAGGGACTTTGTCCTCGCTCCCCATCTTTCCTGCTTCCTGCTCCCTAGACCCGCCCTTTACCTGGGTGAAGCAGGGCCAGGCCGGGGCGGAGCTGGGTGTCAGAGAGGAGGAAGGGAAGAGAGGAGGAGGAGGAGGAGGAAGAGCAGGACTTTCCTGCACTGTTTCCAGGCCACCTGGTCTCTGCCACCTCAGGTGCCCGGGAGAGTTTGCGGCCACCTGCCTGGTGGGGACTTGGGTGGCCGTGATGTGCTCACTGGTGAGGAGTCTTGGACCAGATGACACCCAGGTGGTTGGGCTGCAGTCACCACCCACCCTACATGCTTAGGCATAGCCCGTGGGCATACACTGGGGTCACCACACACGCCTGTCCACATAGCACATGTGTGCACATACAAACATGCCCACACACGCAGCATCAGGGGCCCTGGGTATTCAGATCGTGAGAGGCGCAAGGGCTTGGTTCCCCGTGGGTGCAGACCCTGCTGCCACACCGTGCCAAGTCTCCTGCGGGCCTTCATCCCAGCCCTGCTTAGTGAACCTTCCAGATCTCTCCCTTGGCTCCCAGCCTGGCTGGGTCCTGGCCATCATGTGTGTCTCCTTCCAACCGCCTGCACGGGCCCCTTTTGTGAGGGGAAGAGTCTGGGTGTGGGAACCCCAGGGGCTGCTTCCTCTCCGAACCCCAACCCCAGCCGTCAGTCTGCGTTCCTTATGCAGACCCACAGGTGGGCCTGCAGTGTCCCCAGTGTCTGCAGGAGGCGCTGTCGAGCCTCAGGCAATGCTGGGCTAGGGGGACCCCTGGCATTTCTCTTTTGTCCACTAAGAGGGCTCCCCTCCGTGGTCACCAAAGCTTAGTACGTGGTAGACATCCCACCTGTGTCCTCCATCATGACTGGCTGTGTTTAGCAGTGTCTTGTGTGTGTCTGCACGTGGGAGGTGGTGGCAACGATTTCCCGTTTTCAGAAGTGTTTTAACAGCTGCTCAGCCAGGGAAGGGACTGGACTGCCACACCCTGTGCCTGCAGGGCAGTAGGGGGACACGTGTGTATGGTGCGTGTTTTATCATGAGTTGAGATCGGGCGGGCATGTGCAGAGGAGCCAGGGCTGGGGACAGGGGCCGCATGGGCAGGCTCGGGGCTGGCCATGTGCCACGAGGGCTCGGGGCTCGGGGCTTGGGGCTCGGAGCTCGGAGCTCGGGGCTCGGGGCTTGGGGCTTGGAGCTCGGGGCTCGGGGCTCAAGGCTCGGGGCTCAGGGCTCAGGGCTCGGGGCTCAAGGCTCGGGGCTTAGGACTCGGGGCTTGGGGCTCGGGGCTTGGGGTTCAAGGCTTGGGGCTCGGGGCTTTGGGCTTGGAGCTCGGGGCTTGGGGTTCAAGGCTCGGGGCTCAAGGCTCGGGGCTTGGGGCTCAAGGCTCAGGGCTCGAGGTTCAAGGCTCGGGGCTCAGGGCTCAGGGCTCAAGGCTCGGGGCTCAGGGCTCAAGGCTCGGGGCTTGGGGTTCAAGGCTCGGGGCTCGGGGCTCGGGGCTTGGGGCTCGGTGTCCTGCATTCTGATGCTGCTCTCGCACATTTTTATTTTCGCTTCTCGCTTCTCTGCGTCTGGTGCGCGCTCCCTTTAACCTAAGAGGACGGCCATGGCAGCCAGAGCTGACCGCCTGCACAGTAAGTGCCTGTCCTGTCGCTGGTTGCGTGTACGTGGCCTCGCTGTGCGGGAGGTGTGGAATCACCGGGAATGCACCTGCCTTCCCGCCCCATCCCATCCCCCCTCCCAGGTTGCCCCTTTGCCCTGTGTTTCCTCCTCTAAAATGCTGGAGCTAAAGTGATCATAGGAGGAGTTTTACAAAGTGCCTGGAGAACGAGAATTCAAAGATCGATTGGTTTGGGTGGAAAGCAATTTTGCAATCCATGGGTCCCAGGATCTTAAAAAAAAAAAAATTGTAACTAGGAGCATGGTGGGTTCCCAAAATATTTTGCAAACAAAATAACCTTATCCCACCTTCTCCTGGGAACTGCTTCCGGTTCCCACAAGCACCTTCATCCCAACCTGAGGGTCAGGGGTGGACACCGCCTGTCACCTGCCAAAGGTGCAGCTGCCCTTGAGCAGGCCCTGGGGGTGAGCAGACGCTCTGGCCCTTGGCCGACTGCAGCTCCCCCCTGTTTTTCTGCCCGCTGCTAACGCCCCTTAGGCCCTGCTAGGGGGACGCACTTGGGAATGCTTGCAACAGGAAAACTTTTAACTGAGCAGAATTCTTTTTCGTTCCTTCCCATGGGCCTTCAGCTTTCTTGGAGATCCCTTTGAAACGTGGTAGGACGCTTTTCCTCCAGCTCGCTACCCATGTAAACATGGTGGTTACCGGCCGCAGAGTTCACATGACCTCTGGCCAGTTGTTGCACAAGGACGTTTGAAGGTTAGGCTGAGCCCAGCCATGTAGCACGGGGAGCTAAGCCACTGCCTGTGACTCTGGCACCCCAGGTGCATGCTGGTCCAAGTCCTGGCTGCTCCACTTCTGATCCAGCTTCCTGCTAATCACCTGGGAAAGCAGCATAAGATGGCCCGAGGGCTGGGGCTCCCTACATACGAGGGAGACCTGGAGGGAGCTCCTGGCTCCTGGCTTCTGCCTGTGGAAGCCCCTGAACTAACAGGTGCACACGCACTCCTCTCTGTGCCTCACTCTTTCCCTGTCATTCTGCTTTTCCAATAAGTAACTCAATCTTTTTAAAAGGTGAAAGGTTGTGGCTGAGGTCTAAACCTACCCCCTGCCTGTGGGTGACATGAGGGGGCCTGGAACCCAGGGGTCTCCCCACTCTCAGGTTGTGGGTGTGGCCTTCTCCCAGACTGCCAGTCCCTGCCTCTGTCCTCCTCCTCCCCAGGTTGCAGGCCCGGCAAGGTTGAGAGCTCTGTGGGGCGGCAGGAGGCCTGGGCAGTGCCCAGTGCTACCCACGGGGACAGGAGCTGTTAGTGTCCTTTGGAGAGGACCAGGGCAGCAGTGTCCTCCACTTCAGGTCAGTCCATTGTCATCATGGGCCAGTGGACACGACACCTGCATGGTGGTGCTTCCAGACAGGCACAGCAGCAGAAGCAGGAGGGCTGGGGCGCAGCAGGACTGCCGTCTCCCAGCTTGGAAGAGCCGGGCCAGGAGCTCCGACCCAGGAATCCCAGCCATGTGTGAGCTCAGACATTCAGACCTCAGCCTCCTCGTGGGCTGGGGCCAAGACTTCTGTCCCCTGCTCCTGCCAAGGACTGGCAGGGGGACACAGGACTCAGCCCCTCCCCCACCTGCTGCCGAACCATCCACGGAGGCCAGGCTAGGTCAAGTCCAGCCACGGGAAGTGTGTGTGGAGTGCAGGGCAGGCCTGGAGCTCCCCACCAGCAGAAGGTATCACTCCGGCCGAGCAGCGCTCACCCTGTGGGATCAACTGCGGCCAGTGGGAGGGTCCGGGGCAGTGCTGGCCATGGTCTGTCCCACTTGGCAGCGTCACATGCAGGAGGAACACCCCAGAGAGCCCAGCTGCGTGGCGAAAGTGGGTTACTGGCTGCCTGGGTGCTGACAAACTACAGCAATCTCTCCGAACGCTATAGATCCACCCCCCACACCTCTTTGAGAAAGAAGATCTTCCATCACCGGTTCATTCCCAGGTGGCTACAATGCCCAGAGCTGAGCCGGTCCGAAGCCAGGAGCCCCAACATGGGCTCTTCAGACCCCGACATGGGTCGTTGTCTGGGGGCCCCTGAGCCTGCATGTGGGCGGATTTCAGAGTGTCCCACAGACACTGCCTCCCTGCTGGCTTCCTAACTTACTGAGGTCCTTCTGAGCGGCTGCCAGGGTCCCGAGAACCCAACACAAGAAGCTGTGGTGTAAAGTTAGATGCGTCCTCCCCTTTCCTGCCTCTGGAAATCCCAGGGGAAGCATGAGCAGGGCACGCACAGGTCTGCCAGCTGCTGGGCTAGTGGCCATCTTGGTAGGGTCCGTAGAAGCAGAGGTGGTCTCCGCCTCCATCCTCACTCCACATTGTCCTGTGTGCTCGCCCAGCACCTGTGCCTGAGCCCTCAGGGATCCCGCTGTGACACATTTCAGAGAACTGACCAGCCATGACACTCCCCAAGTAAGGCCAGGTGCTGAGCAGTCAGCTGACACTCTGGCTCAGCCATGTGGGGGCTCACGGCTGACACTCTGGCTCAGCCTTGTGGGGGCTCACGGCTCAGCCCACGGTACCGTCCCATGCAGACCACAGCTCCAGGCAGGGACTGGGCTGCCACGCAGTGATCAGGAAGTGGGCCTGGGAAGAGGGCGTGGCAGTGAGCTATTCACACATGATGGCCCTCTAGATTTGGGTTCCGTTTCTGCTCCCCATCCCAGCCTGTCCGCTGAGGCACATCCTGGAAGCAGCAGGTGCCTGGGACCCACATGGGAGCCCCGGATGGAGTTGGGGGCTTCCTGCCTTTGCCTGCCCTCGGCCTTGAGCTGTTATGGACATTTGAGGGGATGAAGTGGTGGATGGGAGCTCGCTCCGTCTCCCTCCCTCTCTGTGTCTTTTAAGTAGAAGGAACATTTTATAAAAGGATTGCCTGCCACATGCTGTCCTTACCGACCCCCACCCTGGAGCCCAGGTCCAAGGCATTCCCCAGAGATACCCTTTACCACAGTGGTAGCCCCCAGAGTCATAGCCTGCCCACGGTCATTATTCAGCACCCCAGCTGTGGCTTCCCTGTCTGAGGGAGGGGAGCCCAGGACACTGCCTTTCTTGTCCCTGCTTTTCCTCCAACCCTGGACTGGGGTGCCCACCCTTCTCAGCACAGGTGTGCCATCCCACCTTCACAGCACAGGTGTGCCGTCCCACCCTTCTCAGCACAGGTGTGCCATCCCACCTTCACAGCACAGGTGTGCCATCCCACCTTCACAGCACAGGTGTGCCATCCCACCCTTCTCAGCACAGGTGTGCCGTCCCACATTCACAGCACAGGTGTGCCATCCCACCTTCACAGCACAGGTGTGCTGTGCAAGGCTTCGTGCAGGTGATCTTGGTTTTCATGATTACATCAGTGCATGACTTGACTGGGCTCTCACAGTCGTGCCGGCTGCCCCCAGGTCACCAAGAAGATCACGGGCCAGCCTGGCTGGTGCTAGAATGCTGAGCCACTTTGTGCAAAGGCAGATGAATGGTTCATGGCGGCCCTACCATGTGATCTTGAACTTGACCTTGATGGGTTCCTGGTGGATGGCTACTCAACTTCTTCCCTCTCCCTGTGCTGCTGGGTTGCTCGTAGGAAACCAAACTTGGGTAGGTTGCAAACAGGCCAGTGACAGATGTCCCTTAGCTACTGCAGGAGCTGGACTTTTCCAGACAATGTTCCCAATGGAACAAATACCCCTTCCGCATTCCTAGGAACATGTCCTCAGGGTCTTTGCTTTGGTTTCTGAGTGTGATGCTCCTTTCTGGGGACGTGGTGGGGCTTGGCCATTTTCTTAAGGAAGGGAACTTGGTGTGGCCAGGGTGACACCCACCACATGGTCAGGCCATCATTGGCCAAAGTCCCTTCCCTGAGTGTGGTGGCCCAGGCTCCGTGCTTCCGCCCCGGGCAGTCTCTGGCTGCATTTCACTGTCAACGTGCAAACAAACTCTGGCTTCTGTGCCAGCCATCGGCCTCTCCCAGTCCCCCTAAGTTGCAGTTCCTTAAGCAGTTAGTCAGTTCTTAGAAGAGCCACGTTCTCCCAGGCGTGGGCCTGCCCCGTCCTGCCCCAAGTCCCCCAGCACCCCTGACCGGCTGTCTTCCCTGTGCTTGACTTTTCCAGGGGGCTTTTTAAGGAAAGGTGCCAAGCTGTTCTTCCGCCGGCGGCATCCACAGAAGGACCCGGGCCTGAGCCAGTCGCACAATGACCTCGTATTCCTGCAACAGCCAGAGAGCGCCCGGAGGAAAGGGGCCACCCTCACGGGCATGCTGAACAGAAAGCTGCGTGCCAGACACCGGAACAAGATGGCTGTGAACGGCGAGCCCACAGAGCCACAAGGCCATGGCCTGCGTTAGCGCCCCACGCCCGCCCGAGGGACACACAGGCATACGCTGCACCTGCCGCCCCATCACTTCGTCTTATAAAGGGAAGGAAAAAAAAAAAACAACTGCCTCTCCAGGCAGGATGCCTCCCTGCCCCTCAGGGAGGGCTGGCCAAGCTGGCTGATGCCAGGTGTGACCCAAAGGCTGGCGCTGGGCTCCAAGCTCAGTGTCGGGGCTAGCCACCAGCAGGCAACCGAGGATGTGAGCGGAAGCTCAGAGCCCGGTGAGCTGCAGGGACGGGTATGGGGGGCCCTGTGTTCCCCCTGTGCCCCTCAGCAGGTGGGCGGGCCACCTCTCTTTATGTGCTGCTTAAAATTAAGACTGTGCAGGGAGGCGGGCCAGGCGGGGTTCCTCACTAGCGGAGAAGGTAGGGAAGTGGTCATGTTGCGAGACTTTTTCCTTCCTGTTTGCCCCAGAGCTGGAGCTTGTCCGCAGGGGACGCCCAACACTTCACTAAGTTCCCTGGAGCTCGCCTGCAGGTGGGAGAGCTCTCACTCATGTGCTCTTCCTGTCTCCTCGGCGGCCGTGGGGCAGCCATGGGGCAGTGGGTGGCCTGTCTCCTCGGCAGCCGTGGGGCAGCCATGGGGCAGTGGGTGGTGAGTACAACAGCCACAACACCAATACTGGCTTTCTGCCCAGCCTTGCCGATAGCCCTAGCCCGAATCACCTAGGGAGAGAATGGAGTTGCTTTGTGTCTCAGGGGTGCAGCTCGAAGAAGTGGAACAACAGCTTAAATGGGTTCGCCTTCCCAGCTCTCCAAAGGCCCAGCTGCCTCTGGCAGTCCTTGTTTGGGTTGCCATGGAAACAGTTGCCAACCAGGCAATGTGCTTTTACCCCGTGGCTTTGGAGCCACATTCTCACTCAGGATGCCCCCAGCTGGGCCACTGTGTTTCCAGGCTGCCCGCCCCTCTCCTTGCCCGGATGCAATACCTCCAACCGCCGCAAGGCTCGTGGACAGTGAGTATGTGGACAGTTCATGAAGGTCACTCCCCCACTCCCCTCAAAGCCGTTCTAGACACCTGACTCGTCACAGAGGTGGCGGCAGCCTCACCTGCTAACCCTGGAGCCTAGCCGAGAGCCGCGATGGCAGGAAGCCTGGGCAGGGAAAAGCCAGCAGAGCGGGCTGAGCTCCCTGTGCGTCTTTGGAAGGGATCTGAAAACTGTAGTAGGGAATTGCACTCTAAACTACGTGCTCATAATAATAACACTATGTTCCAAGAATGAATGAAGAAGTGACCACAGAATGAAGTTTGCACTTTGCTTAAAAGATGCTGTCCCGCTGTCGATCATTCCGAATAGCACCTGTTCCAAAATGCAAACACGGGAGACCTCGTTAGTTCCCAAGGGTGCGTTCCCCACGTGGGTGCCTTGAGAGGAGCGAGGCACAGCCCCCTGAGGATGCACCTGCTGCCTGCCCAAGGTATGGACAGAGCCTGGGAGGGGTCGGCGTGACATCCCCGGGGCCATTGCTAGTCGCTGAGTGGAAGGTGTTCACCCAGGTTGAGTGTTCCCTAGATGATGTTCTGGAAGCTTCCGGCTTCAGAATTTGGGGATTTAAGATCTGGCCTGACTTTGTGGGTCGAGCGTCCCTCATGAGAATCCAAGTGCTCCTGTGGGTGTTCGGGTGTGAGAACAGTTGGGGCTTTCCAGTGAGGGCTTTGTCACCTATGTGGACTTTGTGGTTTGTTCAGTTTGAAAGCTCCAGATGGGCTTCTGTGTGTTTACATGTGATGGCACCAACGTCCTGGGCTAGCCTTTCTCCCTCTGGGTCCATGTGGCACTGTCCCATGGCCAAGTTCACCCCAGAGCCTTGGGTGTGCCACTGCCAGCAGATGCACTCCTGGTGTGTGCAGCTCACAGTGGTTCCCAAAAGTGGCAGAGAACTCGCCTGTGGCAGGGAGTTTAACTGCAAAGAATTGGAAATGAGAGAGGGAGAGTCAGGCTGCCTCCGTACTTGTACTTGAATATTCCACACCTTCTGACCCAGGTGCACGCGGGCATTTATGTTAAAACCGTTAAAGATCCAATCCAATTTGACACCAGACACCAAATATGTGAGTCCCTTACCTCTTCTCCGCCCAAGGTGGCCCGATTCTGTTTTTGTTCTTTGATGGGAGTGATTTGCAGGAGCTTGCGGTCAAAGCAACTTCTGCCTGAACTCACAGACCTCTCTCTCTCCCCCTCTCTCTCGCAGCCTGAGTGAGCTGCCAGCCCCTCCCGGGGTGCTGTGTGTGGGGACAGGGGTTTCCTTGTAGCAATAAGTAACAAAGCAGCCATCTCCTGATCCCAGTTGAAAAACTGCTGTGAGAACAGGGACATGGAGACTTTCATGTTCATCAGGCTTCAAGTTCAAGTTCAGAACCAGCCCATGCAGCCCTGAGGTGGCATCTAGGTCAGTGACACATTTCAGTGCCTGCCTGAGTCTCGCACCCAGGGAGGACAGGTACAGTTTCTGGAGTAAAAGCTAAGTGAGGTATGGTCACTGTTAGAAGCAGGTGCTTTCTGGGGCTAAAGCCTCAGCCTGTGAGCCCGTGGACACTGGCGGTCACAAGGGACATCTCTATTGGATATGTCTCCGTTCAAAGCCAGGGGCTTCTTCCAGGTCTCCCATGTGGGTGCAGGGGCCCAAGGCTTTGGGCCGTCACTGCTTTTCCAAGGCTTGAGTAGGGAGCTGGAAGGGAATTGGAGCAGCTGGGACAGGAGCTGGTGCCCTTATGGGATCCCTGCAGTTGCAAGGTGAAGGTTTGGTCCCTAGGCTGTTGCCACTGGGACACTTTTTTTTTTTTTGAAGAAACAATTTTTTTAAAGATTTATTTATTTTTATTGGGAAGTCAGATATACAGAGAGGAGGAGAGACAGAGAGGAAAATCTTTCATGTGATGATTCACTCCCCAAATGGCCAATGCTGTGCCGATCTGAAGCCAGGAGCCAGGAACAACTTCTAGGTCTCCCACACAGGGACAGGGTCCCAGCGCTTTGGGCTGTCCTCGACTGCTTTCCCAGGCCACAGGCAGGGAGCTGGGTGGGAAGTGGAGCTACTGGGATTAGAACCGGTGCCCATATGGGATCCCAGCGTATTCAAGGCGAGGACCACTAGGCCAAGGCGCCGGGCCCTGTTTTTAACAGTACAGACCTGGGCAGCTGACCGGTTGGTTTCTGCCTCCTCAGTGTTGCTGCGAACCTTCCTTGAGAAAGGAGAGGAAATCAATAAGGTGTCCAGGGCAGCGGACGCGCAGCCACAGTCTCCATGCAGGACGGCCGGGCAGGCTCCCTGCAAGTGTGGCCGCCTATGTGGGCGACCCGTGAAGGAAATAAAAACGCACACGGACTAGCCCGCCCCGCTTTGTTTGTGCAGTACCCCCACACCACTCCCGAGGGAACCTGCAGCCTGTCCTCCCTCCTTCCCCAGGCACATTCGCAGGGAGCCGACTCGGCAGTGGAGCAGCTGGACTTGAACTCCATTACGGAGCATCCCCAGATGCCACCCCACGCTGTCCTAAGGGCCCAGCCAGACCCAGCCCTGCCTTCTCCATAAAGTGACTGCAGGGTGCCCAGGGCACCTGGGTCCACTCATGAACCCCACTCACTCCCCCATGAGGAAGTCACTTCCTGTCTCCTCTGGGGTCTGTCTGTCACGGTGATGACAGGATCAGCCCACAGCCCTGGTGTGGGGACACATAAGCTTTGCTGCTGCGCATCCTGAGCCCCTGACCTGGGACCCAGTGCTGGGGACAGAGCAGGATGCGGACAGAGAGGGACGCACGAGGTGGGCTCAGCATCCCGCACATGCACAGTGCTGCGTGTGCACCTGTGTCAACAAATCGGTCACTTAAAAAAAGATTTGTTTTTATTGGAAAGACAAATTTACAAGGAGAAGGAAAAACAGAAAGATCTGTGTGTTGGTTCACTCCCCAAGTGACCACAACGTCTGGAGCAGAGTTGATCCAAAGTTAGGAGCCAGGAACCTCCTTTTCCGGGTCTCCCACGCAGGTGCAGGGTCCTAAGGTTTTGGGTCATCCTCTACTGCCTTCCCAGGCTACAAGCGTGGGAGCTGGATGGGAAGTGGAGCATCTGGGACATGAACCTGTGCCCATATGGGATGTCTGTGCCTGGAGGCAGAGGATTAGCCAGTTGAGCCAATGCACTGTCCCCAGATCAGTCACCCTTATGCACAAGTACAGGTGGCTGTCAGAAGGCGGACTCCATCTCCTTCCCTCCCAGCGATGGCATGGGATGTTACCTTGCCTATATTCCTGTGGCTGGGCACTGCCCGTGTCACAGGGCTCCCATCAACGCTTACCGCACTGCGTCCTCCCCTCTGTGGGTATCCTGGGGCTGTCAGCAGGCGTCCGTACTTGCCATGACAGGCAGGGCACTATGATGAGCCAGGCATTTCTCTTCAGGCCTGGGTAGCAAGCCCTGTTTCTCACGAAAGCCACTTGAGGTCACCTTGTCTCCTGGGGCCGTGCGGCAGGGTGGGGATGGGGAAGCAGATTTGCCGCAGTCCACCTCCAGCTGAGTTCGGAACTCAGGAAGGGTGGTGGAGTAGGCATACAGGCAAGAAATGGACCACTAGGAGTCCATACCCAATGGACAATGCAAGGAAGCTGTCCCTGTATTCATACAGAAGCAGTCACAAGCTCTGGCACAGACTTCACATCATGGTCAAGCGGGTGTTTCCAAGGGTAGTTCTGCCAATTGTTTCACCTTGAGGCAGGGTATCAGCCGTCCTAACCCCGTGGTCAGGGAGTTCTCAACAGATGGCACAAATCAATCAGTAACACATTCCTACTACAATCCTCATTCTGCAGCTTCGTCTTGAATCAGTCAAGGGAGGAAGTGCATCACAGAAGGACCTAAAGATCAAAGAAGGAAAGAACCCTAACATAGATTCCTGCTACACCTAGGGACTTAACACTCCTGATTAGCATATGGTCAATGAGGGCAGCCCAGAGACCATGAGCAATAAAAGGCTCTTTTGCCAAGACGTTATCAGCAACATCAACTTCCAAGCTCACATCGATAGTAAAGACCCACTC